GTTGTTACTGTCCCTGTACTGTGTGCAATTAAGTATTTTCTAGCTTGTAATAATAACAATGGTAATATTTAGAATGGAAGGGTGAGCTGAGATGGAAAGCAAGAAGTTAAAGAAAGGGAAAAACAAATACACAGATAGAGAAAACAGAACAAGGTATCAGACAAGAAGTTTCAAAGGTATATAACAGGGAGCTTAGTGTACTAATCGACAGTAAGCTGAACAGACATTAGAGAGACAGAGAGAGGATTGAAAATCAAAAATAAAAAAATAAAGATAAGAATAAAAATAAAAATAAGTAAATGAAAGAAAATCTATATAAAATGTATTAAAATAAAATGAAAATAGAAAATTAAAAAAAAAAAAACAAAAACCTCCAAGTTCAAATGCAATGAAGTTTCAGTCTTAATAATTTGGTGTCCGTCTCAGTCTCCAGTCCTGGAGATGGTGCCTCAGATGTTGTTCTGTAGTTGTCTCATCAAAGGGGATGCATAAAGTAGAACAAAACTACACACACACACAAAAAAAACCCCACCAAGTGTCCCAAGTTCAAATGCAATACAGTTTCAGTAAGTTTTTCAGCTTGCAGGTGTAATTTGGTTGTTCTCTCATCAAACGTAGGGAGACAAAGAAAAAAAAGGGTCTGGAGACAGTTCTGAGAGTAGTATCTGCAGCTGTGGCTTGCCTGCCCGCTGCTGTCAGCCTGCTATTGCTGGAGGCGTTATTTATGCAGATCTCAGGGGTGAGCTTAGCACTCACCTGGCCCTGCAGGCTTTGTTTACTCAGATTTTCCTCTGCGTAAGCCTCTACTACAAGCTTTCCCCTTTCCAAGCACACTGGGAAAAGTGACACTGCACCCGCGTTGTCAGGCCTGCATGTTTATTTACAGTTCATGCGGGAGGTGGGTCTTCCCACCTCTCCCGTGCAGTTTTCCTCCCACCGCCACTTTCACAAGCTTTCCTGTTCCTGATTACTGGGTGGTGCTGCTGCTCCTGCCAGCCGCCATGTTTGTTTACAGTTCACGTGGGAAGTGGTCTTCCCTCCTTTCCTGCGGAGTTTTCCTCCCTCCGCCACTCTCACAAACTTTCCCGCTCCTGGTTGCTGGGAGCACACCCCCTCTCCCACCAGAGGCTCTCCGGCCAGGCCGGCTTGTTTATTTACAGTCCCAGGAAGGATTCCCTTCCCCCAATCTTTGGCACTCAGTGCACCCCACCCTCTTTCCCGAGTGTCTTTATTGCTCTTATTGCATATTACTCAGTTTCTCTTTTTTCCCCGGGTGGAGGTTGGTCTGTCCAGGGGGCTATGCTGCTCTGGCCCAGGCTTGTCTGTGGGAGTACCGCATACCGTGAAGCTCACCTGGTCTGCATCTTCCCAAGCTGTCTGGGCACTGGCGACTGGCGGCCCCGGGGCCCTCCTGGTTTCTCCGTTTAACATGAAGTGGAGATTATCTGTGCCAGCTGGAGGTGTGGAGGGGTCAAAGTTATGCCTCTTCTCAGTGATTATGCCTGCAAAGTGTGTCTCCAGCGTCTCTCCAAGATTTCACTATAGGAGGCTCACTTCTGCTTCCTCCCTCTAGCCGCCATCTTGGAATCCCCCAGTTTGTATTTCCATTAGGGCAGCAAAAGACAGTAATAAGGGGGTAGGAGAGAGAGTTGTATATTGATTAATTCTTCTTGATCTAACCTTTTCTCTAGTTCCTGGTCCCCTTCTCCTATTGGCCTCAGTTGCCTTTAAGGTATCTGCTTTAGTTTCTCTGCATTGAGGGCAACAAATGCTAGCTAATTTTTCAGGTGTCTTACCTATCCTCATATCTCCCTTGTGTGCTCTCGCTTTTATCATGTGCTCAAAGTCCAATCCCCAAGTCCAATTGCCCTTGATCTAATGTCCGCATATGAGGGAGAACATATGATTTTTGGTCTTTTGGGCCAGGCTAACCTCACTCAGAATGATGTTCTCCAATTCCATCCATTTACCAGTGAATGATAAAATTTTGTTCTCTTTCATGGCTGCATAAAATTCCATTGTGTACAGATACCACATTTTCTTGATCCATTCGTCAGTGGTGGGGCATCTTGGCTGTTTCCATAACTTGGCTATTGTGAATAGTGCCGCAATAAACATGGGTGTGCAGGTGCCTCTGGAGTAACCTGTGTCACAGTCTTTTGGGTATATCCCCAAGAGTGGTATTGCTGGATCAAATGGTATCATCAATGAAGAACCTCTGATTGACACCACTTTTATTCTATTTTGGTACCCTATTGGTTTATTCATTTCACTCAACACTGGGATTCATGCCTCAACATTTAGACATTCAGATCCAGGGAAGACAAAGGGGAAGGGAAGCCCAACTAAAGTCATTATAATGTAAATGCTGTTTTTCCTTTCATTTTTAGAATGAACCTGGAGTCAAATCACAAAGACTTAAATATGGTTACAGAAGAAACTGTAGGTTTCAATAACCTTTACAATGTAAACGTAAAGGTACAGCTGAGTAATCTTGAGAAATAGAGGGTGGAAGGAGAGGGGAAAGAAAAAGAATGGGAGTCCAAAGATACTGCTTCAAATTGAGGGAACAGAAAGTACAAGCTTTGGACTGGAAGTGTGGCTAAAGCAGTAGAGTGCCTACTTTGCAAGTGTGAAGCCCTGAGTTCAAACTCCAATCCCACCAAAAAAAGAAAGAAAAAAGAAAGTACAAGCTTTAAATACATTATTTAAAGGCTTGAGGACAAAATATTAACTAGCAAAAATGCCAAGGTGGAGAGAAGAAGAAAAATGTGAGCTAATTAAATCTTGATCTTTCTTACTAGTGAATCAATGAATAATGCCTTAAATTGACAAATAAACAAATAGTATGCCAGGCATGGTATTTCCAGCATCCAGGAAGTGAGGCAAGAGGACTGCGAGTTTGAGGCTAGCCTGCTCTACATAGTAAGACCCTGTTTCAAAAAAAAAAGCATTATAAATATATTGTTTAGATTTAAGGAGATAATCACCAGAACTTAAAAAAACAAAGTGAGTTTAAAATTTGTTTCCTTTAGGAAGTGGAGACAGAATTAAAGAGCTGTTTCTTTTCATTATAAACCCTCTGTACTGGACTGGAGTTGTGGCTCAAGTGGTGAGTGCTTGCCTAGCCTACCAAGTGAAAGGCCCTGAGTTCAAGTCCTAGTACTGTAAATAAAACCAAAACCAAACAAACAAAAGAGTACTATTTAATTCTATTATTTGAATGTATTACTTTGCTAGAAATGTAAGAGAAAACATGGAAACAAAATAAAAGTTGAAAAAGCAAGGTAACAAAATAAACATAGGTTTCCCTGGTTATTTTTTAATTAAGGTTTCAATATCTTGCTACAGAATAACTTCCCATCTCACCATCAGTTGTAACGTGTTTTATTCATATATTGACAATCTATTAAATAAAAAAACCTATATTTTAGTTGGGGAGGAAGGAGATAAAAACAAATGAATAAACAAGAACTCCTAAGTGTTTTGTAGGTGCTACAGCAGGTTGACAGGTCAGTTAGCGAAGGAGGCTCTGATGAGACTTGAACAATATGAAGAAGCCAGTCATATTAAGGTTGCAGGGAAGTGTACTTTAGGCAGAAGGAACAATTAGTAGAAAGGTCCAACAGCGAGAATAAGTTTGGTATGTTCAAGAAACAGAAAAAAGAGGGCTGGGCATGGTGGCACTACCTATCTCAGCTACTTGGGAGGCAGAGATAGGAATATCAAACTTCAAGGCCAAGTCCAGGCAAAAAAGTTACGCAAGATGATATCTCAAGAACAAGTAGGGATGGTGCTAGTGGCTCATGCCAGTCATCATAGCTACTCAGGAGTATCGCAATTAGAAGCCAGCCCAGGCAAATAGTTCATGAGACCCTATCCTGAAAAATACCCACCCAAAAATGGGCTGGCTGAGTGGCTCAAGTGATAGAGTGCCTGCCTAGCAAGAATGAAGCCCTGAGTTCAAATTCTATTACCACCCCGAAAAATAAAAAAGAACAAGCCAGGTAAAATGGTACATAGCTGTAATCCCAGGTACAAAATAGCAACTTAAAAAGGAGACTATGAAGGAAAATGAACACTTCAATGAAACTCCCCTCAGAGAGATAAACTCATACCCATGAAATAAATATGGAATAAAATGCTATAAAAAAATAAGCTGGACCAAGCGCCAGTGACTCACACCTGTAATCCTAGCTACTCAGGAGGCAGAGATAAGGAGGATCATGGTTTGAAGCTAGCCCAGGCAAATAATCTATAAGACCCTATCTTGAAAAAACCCATCACAAAAAAAGGGCGGGGGAGGATGGTGGAATGGCTTAAGGTGTAGGCCCTGAGTTCAAGCCCCAGTACTGCAAATAATAATAATAATAATAAGCTGACCAGGCACCAGTGACTCACACCTGTAATCCTAGCTACTCAGGAGGCAGAGATCAGGAGGATCACAGTTTGAAGCCAGTGCAGGCAAATAGTTCCAAAGATCCTATCTCAAACAAAAACCCATCACAAAAAAGGGCTGTTGGAGTGGCTCAAATACTAAGAGCAAGTACCTAGTAAGTGTAAGGCCCAGAGTTCAAACCCCAGTGCTGCCAAAAAAAAAAAGAGTCCGACATGATGGTACACACACCTGTAATCCCAGCACTCAGTAGGCTGAGGCGGGAGGATTGTTGAGTTTTGAGGCAACCTAAGGCTACATAGCGAGACCTTATCTCAAAAAACAAACATGTAGAGAATTGGAAAGAGCTCTTCCAAATTAAAAAATAGTATGGTCAATAAAATCGCCTAGTTAGTAGGTAGTGACAAAAAGATGAAAAACTGTCAAACAAAATTAGATAACCAATTTAAGATGTCCAACATCTTAATGGCAGTTCCAGAGAAAACAGAATTAATACAGCAGAGAAAAGAACTAATTAAAGAAAACATCCTGGGAAGCTACCTGGTCTTGACAGGCCCTCAGGTAGATTCAGGGGTGGAAAGTTCAGCCTACTAGGGTCTCTCACCTCAGGAAAGCAGAAATGGCCTTCACTGCCTCAGTAGCTACCTCCAGCACAGGGCTGCTCACTGCCTCTTGGAGGGCACGGCCAGCATCTCCACACATGGCTGAGCTTGTAAACAGCCTGATTTCTTCTGGCTGCCTAGGAAATGGTAGACAAGAAATCAGTATGTAAACTCCTATCCTGGCCCCACCAGGAATAAAGACGCACTTTTCCTTCACCAGTCTGGCCTCTACAGGTCTGATGTTCTCTCACTTTGCTCACCGAGTCAGGATCTCAGCAAACAACAGCAGGCCCTGCTTGTGCAGCTCTGTGTTGGTCATCTTCAGGCTTCCCTGTAGGCTCCTGACCACCGCCTCGATCCCTACTCAGGATGACATGCCACAAGCCAGGGATCAGTGATCTGTAGTTCCTTCACTGCCCAACCAGGAGAGGTGACACACTCTGATTAGCACCTACTCTCTGGAAGCCCTCATGGAGTAACCCTGACAAGGTTTAGCTGATGAGATCTAAATGTTGAGATCTTCAAGGGAAGGCCTTCATCTGATTCATCTCTGTCTCCCCTACACACAGCACAAGACACAGCACAGGCGCAGACACATGAGGTATTTAGGAACTGATCAAGCCATGTCTTCCCCACTTGGCACACTCCTATTCCTCCTTAAAGAATCAGGTTGACCCGGGCACTGGTGGCTCATTCCTATAATCCTAGCTATTTAGGAGGCAGAGATCAGGAGTATTTTGCAGTTTGAAATCAGGCCAGGCAAACAGTTTGCATGATCCTACCTCAAAAAACCCATCACAAAAAAAGGGCTAGTGGAGTGGCTCAAGGTGTAGGCCCTGAGTTCAAACCCCAGTAATGAAAAAAAAAAAGAATCAGTTGAATCTCTGCTCTTCCATAAAGTCTTCCCTGATCCACTCAGGCAGAACTGTGACTTCCCCTGAGCAATTTGTGCTTCACTTTAGGAGTGAGAATCAGCTTGTGTTGAAATTGTCTGTTTAACCTCTTTCCCATTGGTGAGGGCAAGCACCATGTCATATGTATTTCTAAATCTCTAGGTCCCAGTCTGGTGCCTGGCACAGACTAGAAACATAGAATACAAAATGATTAAATGCTTCCATTCTAAAAGTCCAGACATAACACAAAAAAAATCCTAGAAGAAAGGATCATCAGGATGGAAAGGGAAGGGATGGTTCCAAGAGACTTTTAAGGAATGAATCAACAAAATTCAGAGACTGCATATCACTGTTTGGAATTACACTTAGCATGTAACTGGAATTCATTCAGAGGCTAATAGGAGTGCCCTGTCCTTGCTGAAGAGTCTAAACATGTATACTTCTGCTAATCAGTGTACAGCAGAATCATATGCTTACATACGGAATCTGGTAATGAGTTTGAGCTGACAGAAATGTCCAGAACCCAGTGCTCTTTCTCCCAAGGTGAAGGCCAGCCCCCCATCACTGCTGCTGCCAGGCCGAGAGCACAGAACCTGCACTACCAACCATATACTGTGTGGCACTTGGAAAAGAAGAGTGGCTCTTCTGCCAAGAGTATCAAGCAGTTGTAGCTGGACCAGATGAGCACTTCGCTGGAAGAAGAAAGATTCTCAAAGAGGAACTCTAGCCAAACAAAAGAGAAAATAATAAATGACTGCTAGAATATCATGTTCCTTTAACTGATGTATATATTCAGCATCTTTTTCCTATTACATGATCTGTTCATATACCTTCTCTATGAGACATCAATTCATAGATGAACCTGGAAAGTATCCTCAGTATTCTAAACTCATTTTTAACAGATGGGGAAACTGAAACCCAGAATGACAAGTTTATGGCAGAGGTGGGACTGAAACTTGGGTCTCCTAATTCCCAGAATGGGCAACAGAAAAAAGAATTTTTAGAGTCAGAGAGATTTAATTTTGTATCCCATCTCTGTCAATGACTACCCTTGTTAATTTGAGCCAGTTATTTTTCCTCTCTGAGTCCCAATTCTCCTCAATAATCATAATCCCCCAAATTATTTACATTCCTACTCTCCCACATCTCCTATAGAAAAAGGGTTATATAAACATATTGGGCTGGTGGATAACTGCACTATATGACCGTTCCATGCACAAAATAAATTTGTATTTTTTCTCCCCCCAAAAATCAATTCCCTTATCTACACATTTTTTCTTTTGTATGTGCATTCATTATTTTTATTTTTTATTCCCTTTTTTGTTATTGTTATATTGGGGGTACACTGTGATATTTACCAAAGTTCTTACAATATATTATAGTTGAATTCACCCCCTCCATCATTCTCTTTTATCCTTCCTCTATTCTTGGAATAGTTTCAACAGGTCTCAGTTTTCCATTTCATACATGAATACATAATATTTCCACCATATTCAATTCCCTTATCTATAAAATAACAAAGATTGGCTGGGGATATATAGCTCATTGGTAGAGTACCTGCTTAGTATGTGCAAGGCCTCTGAAACCCTGCTCCACAAAAAATAAAAGAATAAAACAACAAAGACAAAGAACTAAATGTGATATTATTTGCAAGCAATTCCGTGTGTGTTTCTTGGCTCCTAATAGCTCAGGGAGAAACATTAACTCCTTTTGCCTTCCTGGTCTGCAGGTGTTTCTGCTACCCCACACTACATTTTTATTCATAGAAAGCCAAATAAATGGCAAAGGTCAGTAACAAATTAGTCAAATCCATATAAGAAATCTGTAGCAAGAGGATTCAGATGTTATGAGCCTACTTCACATACAACTGACTCTGTCCTCACCCCATCCCTCCAATGTGAGTTATTAAAGTTCCCCTGACAGGGTGGCTGCTGCTGCTACAATCCCCAAGGCTCTAGTCAGAAATCTTAGGTCCTGAGAAGAAAAGATTAAAAGGCCCACTTACCTGGAATGTCAGCATGGATGAAGGCTGAAGCATGCTTCACTGGGGAGTGGACCAACACTGCAGTTATGCAGTGGGAACTGGCCACCTGCAAGGTCTCATCTCTGGAGAGAAGAAGCTGGAGAAATCGGCAGCAAAAAGTATCCTGGTCACAGTAATGACAGGACCAAAGGATCTGACCTGAGTGCTTCAGAGCAGGAGCTCAATTCATTTCTGACACTCCTGTACTGCACCATGCCACGCACAAGGTCAGTGCCAGGGGGAGCAGTTATGCATTATTGAAAGAAGTCTTTGTGAACAGTGCAGGTAAGAAACAGAATGCAAGAACACAACGAAAAACCCACCAGTGGCACTCAACAAACAATAAAACCACCACCAAGCAGTATGCAGGCCTTCATTAGCAAAAGTATTTTCATATCCCTCATTTGCTATTTATTTATTTATTCATTCATCTATCTATTTATTGGTGGGAGTGGAGTCTGAACTCAGGGATTCATGCTTACAAGCAGGCACTCTACCACTCGAGTCACACCTCCACTCCATTTTGCTCTGGTTATTTTGGAGATGAGTCTTGTGAAGTATCTGCAGGGCTGGCAACCTTTTACTATAATAAGTCACTGCCATGAATATTATTATACACCAAGTCCTGTGTATTGTCAACAAATCATCAAACTTCACTGTAGTTTTGGGTTAAGTTACTCCAGGCCTAGCTAGCTGAAAAGTAGCAAAGGTAAGAAAGAAACCCAGGTCAGGCAAGTCCAAGTCTAGGAGTCTTGCCCGCACCAAATTTTATTTTATTCTATTTTTGTGGGACTGGGTTTTGAACTCAGGGCTTCATACTTGCAAAGCAATACTCTACCACTTAAGCCATGTTTCCAGTCCATTTTGCTGTGGTTATTTTGGAGATGGGGGGGTCTCACAAACTATTTCCCTAACTGCTATCCTCCCAATCTTAGCCTCTCAAGTAACTAAAATTATAGGCATGAGCCACCAGTACCCAGCTCAAAATTTTTTTTTTCCTAGGTTCACTCTAAGTTTTTAGGGACAAGGTCTCACATACAGGTGAGACTGGCCCAGACTAGCCTCAAACTCACAAGATTCCTACTTCAACTTCCCAAGTACCAGGATTATAGGCGTGCACCACCTGGCATGCCAGGCTTATCCTATCAAAATTTTAGATCTACTCAAACATATCAATAAATTTCTTAGCACTCTGAATAATATCAAAATTCCTGCTGGACACCAGAGCCATTAGGAGGACCTGTAATACTTTTAGAAATCAAGAAGAGTTAGCTGCAACTACAGGTTTTAAGTATAATAGAAACTGACCACTTGAGCCTAGAATGGTGACACATCTCTATAATCCCTGCTACTTGGGAGTGAGAAGCAGGAGTACTTCAAAATCAAGGTCAGCCTGGGCAAAGTTAGTAGACCTTATCTCAGAAAAAAAAGATAAAATTAAAGTGCTGAGTATTAGCAATAATGGCGCCAATAGGTTTCAGTTCTTATTGCACCCTTAAGCTTCTGTTTTCCTGGGTCATGGTCCTGCCTCCCAGGGTCACAGTCCTGCCTCAAGTCTAGCTTGAATCCTCCTTCTGCTCCAACCTCCAATCAGCATGAACCATAAGATCCTAACCAATCAGATCATGCTGAGTCCCACTGAGGGGTATTTAAGCCCTTGCCCTTCCTGCCTCTCTCTCTCTCTCCCACTCGGCAATAAAGAATTTCTTGGCCAGATCACTCCTCTCCACGTGGTCACTTTTGGGGCCCACATTTCCAACACTGGGGGCATGATTTGAGAGGTACAGCACTTGCTTGCATGTTTAAGAATGAAGCCATGGTTTCAAAGGAAGGAAAGGAGGAAGGAAGAGAGGGTGGGGAGAAAAGAAAGGGAGGAAGGAGGGAAGGAGCAATAAAACCTATTATCACCAAAAAAAAAGGAGTGTGCACTAGTTTTAAAATGTCAAAGGAAAAGAATCAAGTCATACTCAGTCTAACAGGGAAGAATCTAAGGTCTGTACAATTAAACCATCTTGATGATATAGGACATATTGGACAAGTGGACACATAAATAGCTTTTCTGTTAGTGTGTAAAGGAGTTTAGATATTGTTTATCTTGTTCTCTTTTCTAAAGAAAATAACATACTGCATTTTAATCTTAAGATACAATTGATGTATGAAAAAATTAAAAAACAAAAGAGAAAGAAAGCAAAAAAATAAAAAGGAGAAAAAAACTAAAGAAGATACAATTGATGTAAAGTAAACCATTATTTTTATGTACCATTTAATTGGAAACACTTTTTCTTCTTCTTTCTTTCTTTCCTTTTTGTGCTGCTAGGACCGTCCTTGCACATGCTAGGCAAGGGCTCTCTACCACTAAGCTATATTCCCAACCCTACACTTTTTCTTAAGAAAGAGAAAGTGTGGGCTGGCAGAGTGGCTCAAGTGGTAGAGCACCTGCTTAACAAGCATGAAGCCCTGAGTTCAAACCCCAGTACTGCCAGAAAGAGAGAGAGAGAGAGAAAGTACATCATTGATGGTAAAATGTCTTTCAATTTCACAGATGTTAAAATGTGAAAAAAAGTTATATTAGAATCAAAGAAATATAATATTTATCCATTAAGGAAAACAATGGTTTAAAATATATATTCCTTATCATAAAAGAAATATTCCAACTTTATTTTTCCTTCATAAACAAAATTAATTATCTATCCTTTAAAAATTCTAATTACTTACCATAACTTACCAGGGTTTATATAAAACTTGCCCTGCTTAATCTCTAGCCTCATCTTGAGCTACATCCCCCCACCTCCCACCCACCATCCCATCCCACCAGCCCCATCTTTTTCCAGAACACAAAGTCCTTCTATTCATCTGGCCTTTATTTGCTTTTCTTCCCATCTGAGATGCTTTTCTGCATCTTCATATTAATTCTTCAAGTGTCAGCTCAAACATCAGCCCTTCAGAGAGGCCTGCCCAAATACTTAACCTATAAATGGCTTTTTCCACTACTGTCTCATCACATTATTTCCTCCATAGCACTTATCATAATCTATAAGTACATTGCTTATCATTCACTTGTTTGTTATCTGCCTTCCTCACTAGTCTATAAACTGCAAAAGCAAGAAAAAAAAAATTATCTGAGCCAGCAGGATGGTACAAGCCTGTAACACCAGCACTTGGGAAGCTGAAACTGGGAGACTGAGAGTTTGAGGCCAGCCTGAACTACAAAGTGGAGACTCTGTCTCAAAAACGAAAACAAGAAAAAACTTACCACAGTATCTGTTTACATAGCACAATGTTTTCAGTGGCTGACAAAGTGACCTATCATATTAGTGCCTGGTAGGTATTTGACAAAATGAATGAATCAATGTTGCAACATCAAGACCACAAATATTAACCTGTTCTCAGAGACCTGAATTTTGGGAGAATAAGTTGGTCATCATCCAAAAGCAGAAAATAGGGCTGGCGAGTGGCAGTAAAAGCACCTCCCTAGCAAGTGTGAGGCCCTGAGTTCAAACCCCAGTGCTGCCAAAAAAAAAAAAAAAAAAAAAAATCCCAAAGCAGGAAAGAATAGCATTAGACTGCAAAAAAATGCCAGAAAGTAAGTAAAAGGACACATGCCAATATTATTTCATTTAAATTTTTGCTATTTCATTCATTAACGTTTCTGCATTATTTTTATTTCTTAAAATTATTTATCTTTATTTCTGAGTTTTTGTTTAAGCACCCACTTAAATTTCAAACCCTCCAAGTACCTCACTTGCTTCCCTCACTTATAAAATAAAATAAAATCTTGATCATCCAAAATTGCCAATGGAAAAAGAGTTTCCAGGGCTAGGTATGATGATGCACTCCTTTAATCACAGTACTTAGTAGGCTGAGACAGGAGGATCACAAGTTTGAGACCAGTCTAGACAAAGTTAGTGAGACTCTGTCTCAAAAGAAAAAAAAAAAGAGTTTCTACATATGGATGAAGGCTGGGACTTCTAAGCCAATATTCTAGTCTCTACAAAGTCCCTTGCCCCACGCAAATGCTCTTTAAACTGTGCTGCTGCCGCTACCATGCTGCCTTGGTAAGGACACAAGACCCTTTCCTAAGTCCTTATGCTCCTGTTGGGCCCAGTATCAAATGAACACAGACAGAAACCTGATATGTGATTTTCTGGCTTAGAAACACAGGCCTTTCATGGACCATTCTAGAAGCATTCCAAGAAAATAAGGAGGAGAAGTTTGCTTTGGATTGTTGCTTATCCCCAGCTGACCCTTTCTCACTTCTAGCCAGAGCTCCTCTTCCTTCCTGAAAAAGGAGCCCCACAGTCTGGTCAATCAACCCCTGCTATCATGTTAGTTTATGCACATGATATGTCAGGCCCTATGCTGACTGGGGAGAGAGACAACAGATTTAGGTCCTGTCCTGAAGAAGCGCCCAGGCAGTCACCACAATATGGTGAGGTAAGCATGTGACAGAGAGGCACATTCAGCTAAAGAGCCTATGTAACAGGCCTGCAGGCTGAATCAGAGCAACAAAAAAGAGAGAGAAAAGAATGTACAGGCAGAGGGAAAACCATTTGCATAGACAAGATGACCTAGCACATGCAGGACCAAGGAGAAAGGAGAAGAGTATATGGCTGAAGTGCTGGGTTGTAGAGTAGAACCGACAGGTAAATGAGACTAAAGGAGCGCACAGGGTTCAAATAAAGAAGACGTTTGGTACCAAGCTGAGAAGCTTATGTCTAAAACAACTAGGGTGGCTTTGCTTCTGTTGCTTGCTGTAAGTATTCATTTTTAGGCAATCCAAAAGTGAAAGGAAAGGAAAGATACAGAGATAAGAATTTACCATTGAGCTGGGCATGAGGGTGAACACCTGTAGTCCTAGCACTAGAGAGGCTGAGACAAAAGGATCACAAGTTTGAGGCCAGCCTAAGCTACATAGTGAGAGATTGTTTCAAAAAAACATAAACAAACAAAAAGAATTTATAACAGAAGCTGGGCTTGGTGGTACGTATCTATAACCCCAGCACTTAGGAGGCTGAAGCAAGAGGATTGAGGCAGGAGGATCGTAAGTTGGAGGCTCGTCTGGGAAAAAGGTAGCTGAGACTCTGTCTCAAAAAACAAAACAAACAAAAGGGTGCTCACTTCAACAGTACATATACTAAAATTGGAATGAAACAGAATAGTGTGTGGCCCCTGCATAAGGATGACATGCAAATTTGTGAAGCAGTTCATATTTTTTAAAAAAAATGAAAGAAAGAACAAAGGGACTCAAGCATGGCACAAGTAATAGAGCACTTGCCTAGCATGCTTAAGGCCCTGGGTTCAAACGCCAGCACCAACAAGGCCCAGACCCCAGTACCATGAGATAATAATAATAATAAACAAATAAACAAACAAGGCCCAGGAAGTAATTGTGTTTCCTCGTTATTGAACCTAGAGATTATGATGCAACTACTTTTTGGTTTTGGTGCTGGGATCACCAGAACAGGCCTCACTCATGCTAAGCATGTACTCTACCACCGAGTTACATCCCTGGCCATCAACTACCTTTTTGAGCACCAAAGGTAGGGAGGTCTCTCCGGGTGTCCCCTTGGCATTTTCAGCGTGTTCTGCAAGCACAGACTTGTCCATGACCATGGATACAAAGAGATCATACTTCAGCAGTTGCCTTAGCAAACCTAGGAAGCAAAGAGGTTCGGAAGTGAGGCGAAGGGAGCACAGGAGTACTCCCAACACAGCCCTCAGACATTCCCCCAAGAAACTTCTTCAGATCCCTGTAAACATGGAGAGTGCTTAAAATCCTTAAGTACCAGTTTTCTTTCTGCAACCTAGCTCACTCCCAAAAGGATCTCAGGAGAACTTATTACATGCTACCTCTCAGAGATTAGGGATTCAATCGTAAGCAAGGCAAACATGGTCCAAATCACCCTCAGTGAACTCTTAAATTTCATGAGGGTAGGAATAATGTCAGTCTCACCGTTATATCATCCCTCACCAGGCACAGCTCCTGACACACAGCAGGAACTCAATAAATATATTTTGACTAACAAGGGGAGCATATACTCATGCAGGGGAAACAAACATAAAAATAAATCACACAAAGCCAGGCACTGTGGCATGAGCCTACAGTCTCACCTACTCAGGAGTCTGAGGCAGGAAGATCACTTGAGCCCAGGAGCTTGAGATCAGCCTAGGCAACACAGCGAGACTGTCTCAAAAAACAGTAACACAACAAAAAAGTGACAAAATGATTACAATTATTTGTAATTGTGATGAATGATACAAATGATGAATTGCCAGACATATATGAGAGTGTACACAGGAGGATCTAATTTAATGTAGGGATCAGTAAAGCCTTTCATCAGCAAGTTTAAGCTGAACCCGAATGATTAGTAGATAAAACTAAGTGAAGTGGAGAAAAGCCTTCCAGGTGGAGGGAAACTGAAAAAAATCCAGAAGGGCTGAAAAAGAGTAAAATTCAGAAAGGGTATTTGAGAATTAATTATACTATAAAAGACCATATAAGCAATGTTAGGGACTCTAGTCCTTATGCTCAAGTCATGGTAAGCCACCAAAGCATGCTACATACACACATAATTTAACTAACAGGTAAACAAACTTTGCATGTCAGAATATTAAATAATAAAATTAAATGATGAAAAAAAAAAAAAGTCCAGAGGACTGTGGGCATCTAATCCAGCTTAAGGCCCAAGAAAGGGCTTCTGGAAGAAATCTGATCAAATCTTGAAGGACTAAGGTGTGGCCCAAATGATAAGAGTGCCTGCCTAGCAAGCACAAGGCCCTAGGTTCAAACCCAGTACCACAAAAAAAAAAAAAAAAAAAAAAAAAAAAAAAGCTGAACAAATCTTGGAGGATGTGAAGCTGAAGAGAGAGCCAACATCCAGGCAGACAGAAGAGTATACAAAAGCAGGAGAGCACCAGGCATGTACTGGCTGTAATTCCAGCACTTGGGAATTAGCAGGGTGATTGCAAGTTTGAGGCCAACCTAGGCAACACAGCAAATTCCAAGCAATCCTAGGCTACATTAGAAGACCCTATTTCAAGCAAAACAAAACAACAAACATAGGAGAGCCTGTTGTTTGGCTGGAGATATATTTGGTTTAGAAAGGCTGAATTTTGGGTGCAGAGTGGGACCCAAGCGGAAGTAAGAGATGAGACTGGAGCAGCTAATATGGATTAGATCACAAAAAGCTTAGATGATCTTGGACTTTAAGGCTAAACGAATAACATTTAACAGAATAAAAAACCCACATCATTTGAAGATTCAAAGGATTAATGGCCAGGCATGTAGCTCAGTGGTAGAGTGCTTGCCTTGTATGAGTGAGGCCCTGGGTTCAATCTCCAGCATTAAAGAAAGGAGGAAGGGAGTGGGGAAGGAAGGGAAGAGGAAGGAAGGAAGGAAATAAGGAAGGAAGAAAGGAGGAGACAGGAGGAGAGGGGAGGGGAGGGGAGAAGAGAGCTGGAGGGGTAGCTCAAGTGGTAGAGCGACTGCCTAGCAAGCATGTGGCCCTGAGTTCAAACCTCAGTACCACCAAAAAAACAAACAAACAAAAAAATATAGCCAGGCCCAGTGGTTTACACCTGTAATCGGACAGAGATCAGGAGGATCCCAGTTGGAAGCCAGTCTGCAAACAGTTCATAAGACCCCATCTCAAAAAAACGCATCCCAAAAAAGGGCTGGTGGAGTGGCTCAAGATGTAGGCCCTGAGTTCAAACCCCAGTACTGCAAAGTAAATAGATAATAAATAAATAAACAAAAATAAAAATAAGCCAGGTGCCAGTGGTTCATGTCTGTAATCTTAGCTATTCAGGGAGCAGAGATCAGGAGGATCTTGGTTCAAACCCAGCCATGGGCAAATAGTTCACGAGACCCTATCTCAAAAAAAAAAAAAGGGCTGGCAGAGTGGCTCAAGCAGTAGGAGCGCCTGGCCTAGCAAGCGTGAAGCACTGAGTCCAAACCTCAGTACTGTCCAAATATAAACAAATAAATCTAAAATAAACAAAACTAAAATTAAATTAAAACATCACAGTTTCCTGTTCAAAAGAATTCGCTAGATCTTGTGTAAGGAAGTAGCAGTACAATAGGCTGGAAGGGTGTACTAAGGCTTCTAAAGAACCTTGAACAGCCAGGCATAGGGCAAAAATATAAATCCCAGTATTTGGGAGGCTGAGGCAGGAAGATCATGAATTCTACCCTAGGTTATATATCAAGAGCTGATATTAAAAAAAAAAAAAAGAAGAAGAAGCTTTTGAGGGCTGAGAGCTGGTGGAGTGGCTCAATTGGTAGAGCACCTACCTAGCACTAAGTTCAAACTCCAGTACCATTAAAAAAAAAAAAAAAAGCCTTGAATAACAAGCAGAGAACCCTAGACTTTACCCTCAAGGCCAGAATGGAAGATTTTTTTTTTAACTAGGAAAGTGACTGTACAGTGGATACAAGTAATGTAAAGATTAACTTGGCAGCAACAGGCGTTAAGGATCCAGGGCAGAAAAACTGTCCCACTTTCCTTCCTCTTTTTCTCCCAAAGACAACATTGTTAAGATGTCATACCAACTCTAGGCATCTTTCACACAGTCTGCACATCTTATCTCCCAAATTATGCTTCCTACCCTTTCCAAAGTGATAAACTTCCCCCCAACTAGACCAGCCAATATCTCAAGTCCTCAAGCAAAACCTAAAAAGATCTCCTTTTCACTCCATCCCCACTGTCTCACCCAAGCAGTTGATCTGCAGCTCCTTGGTCTGGGCACTATCCATGGTAGAAAGGAAAACGGGACACAGCTTCTCTCGGAAATGGCCTGAAAGCATCTTGGCTGCCATTGGTGAAGAGTAGAGCTTCCCATAGAGGTAACAGATGGAAGCTTGCACCGATTCATTAGGGTATACCAAGCCTCTCAAAAGATGCTCCATCAGGTTTCCTGTCCAAAAAACAACCAAGGAGCAGGAAGAAATCTCATAATGTCAACTGCCATATGAAACTCCAAACTGCTATCCCTAGTAAGGTTATACTAGTAATTTCCTATAACCCCCCTACAATAAATGCTTTCTGAATACTTAATCAAATGAGAATATCAAAGCTGACAGAAGTTGGCTGGTGGAGTGGCTCAAGTGGTAGAGCGCCTGCCTATCAACTGTGAAACCCTGAGTTCAAACCCCAGTACTGACATAAATAAATAAATAAAAGCTGAAGTTAAAAAAAAAAAACCTGATAGAAGGGATTCATCTGCCTCTAAAAGTGTTAGCATTTCAGTGATAAAAACAAGTGCTTCTCGGTAACACCCACGCACAGGAAATAAATGTGAGTCAATGCCCTGTATAGCCATCCTTATCTCAACCAGCAAAAACCCTTGTCCCTTCCTGTTATTGCTTATACTCTCTCTACAACAAAATTAGAAATAAGGGCAAAATAGTTTCTGCTGGGTTTTGAGGGGGGAGAGGGAGGGGACGGAGTGGGTGGTAAGGGAGGGGGTGGGGGCAGGGGGGAGAAATGAACCAAGCCTTGTATGCACATATGAATAATAAAAGAAAAAAAAGAAAAAAATGCTTGTCTATCCAGAATTAATTTCTCTTTCCACCCAAAAGGAAGGTCACAGTAGGTGCTTAATTAGATGTATTAAAAGCATGAATAGAACTGGGTGTTTTGGCACATATATCTGTAATCCAAGCTACCTGGGAAGCAGAAGTAGGAGGATCCCAAGTTCAAAGCAGCCTGGGCAAAGTTAGTAAGACCTATCTCAAAAACAAAATAAAAAATAAAGGATTGAGGGTATGATTCAGTTGGTAGACTGCTCTTGACTAGCACGCATGAGGCCCTAGGTTCAATCCCTATTACTGAAAAAAAAGTGAAAGTAGAGCTAGGTATGGTGATACGTACCTATAATCCCAGAAGTAGGGAGGCTGAGGCAGAAAGATCACAAGTTCAAGGCCACCCTGAGCTACATAGCAAGTTTGAAGCTAGCCTGCCTCAAAAAAAAAAAAAAAAAATAGAAATAGCCCAAGACCAGAGTCAAGAAACTGACCTTAGGCTGGAGGCATAGCTCAGGAGGTAGACTACCTGCCTAGCAATCATGAAGCCCTAAGTTCAAAAACTGCCAAAAAAAAAGAAAAAAACCTGACCTTTTTCACATTGACCAACGTAAAGCACATTTTGCAGACAGAAAAACTGAAAGCTAGATAAGGAAATGAATGATTTCCCAGGTGACACAGTGAATGGGCCACCTAGATGGCAGCATGATCAAATAAAGCAAAGGGTAGGAGCCACTGTTCCCACAGCTTACTCACCGTGCTCCATTACAAGCTCATCTGCCAGAGTGGGGATGGCATCCACCAACTTGCCAAGAAGAGTTATGGTGGCTAGGCTGTTTCGCATGGAGGGCATGTTACACAGCTGCAGAAAGTGAACACACTCCTCTCTGTCAGTTACTAACAAGGCAGATCTCCCACCCAAACTGATCTTGACCTACCCATACCAATGCCTGTATTATGCGTGTCTCTCACCACAATCAGCTTTTTTACCTAAGTGTCCATTTCCTCCATTCACCTGTGAATTCCTGGGGGAAAGGGACTGAGTCAAATTCCTCTCAGAGTCCTTAGTACCTAGATTAGTACATATTTGTTAAACTGAATTAATATTAGAAATTTCAGCTAGGGATATAGCTGAGTAGTAGAGTACTTGTGTAGCTCAAGTGAGGCCCTGAGTTTGATCTCTGAACAGAAAAAAATATTAGCATATTTTGCCTCCTATAGAACCAAAAACTGGTGAATCAAAGTTGGAAACATCGTAAAGACAAAACACTGACTCAATGTCAAAAATACACATATTATTATTATCATTATTATTGCTACTATTATTGCTCTATGTACCGGGAACTAAGTTTGATGCTTTACAGGGAGAGTCAGTAGTACACATTTCACATTTTCTGCTGACTAGCTATACCACTTTGGACAAGACTCTTAATGTCTCTAGTGGAAAATAATTATAGCACAACACTCATAAGGTTGTTGGTAGGATCAGATAAAATACTGCATATACACTGGGTATTATGGCCTATAATCACAGCACTTGAGAGGCTGAGGGAGAAAGATCCAAGCCAACTTGGACATAAAATGAGATCCTATCATAAAAATAACCAAAAAAGGGCTGGCAAAGTGACCCAAGTGGTAGAGCATCTTCCTAGCAAATGTGAGGCCCTGAGTTCAACACCCAGTACTTCCAAAAAAACACAAGTTAGATGTGGTGGCACATGCCCGTAATCCCAGCTACTCAGGAGGCAGAGGTAGGATCAAGGATCAAGGTTTGGAGGCTGGCCCAGGCAAAAGCAGGACACCATATCTGAAAAACTAAAAGGAGAAAACTAGGGGTCTGGTTCAAGTGGTATTATGCTTATCTAGCATAATACCATAAGTATGAGGCACCAAATTCAATCTCCATTACAAACAAATAAATAAATAAAATAAATATGAAATCTGTATTATGTTTTGAATGTTACCACAAATGGGCCATGGGATAATTACATCAGAAAGAAGGAGAATTTGGGACAGTAAATGGGGAAGGAAGGAAGCTACAAAGAGGACTACAGTAGAATTAGAAATCCCATTCTCTATCTCTAATTCTGCTACCAACTGGGTAACCTGAGACAAGTCCCTTTTCCTCTCTGAACTTCAACTTCTCCACCAATTCAAAGAAGGGCTAGCTCAGCTCCATCAGAATCTGAGTATTCCAAGGGACCTCAAGAACCCATAACTGACCTGTTTGTGGCACTTGTCCAGCAGGCAATGGATAGTCTGTTCTAGCTTCAGCTGAGTCATAAGCTGGATAAGGACTGAGGAAACACACAGAATTACTAACTGGAAGACAGCCCCTACCTAAAATTCACCACACATAGCCCATCTACTCAAAGTCAGAGTATGGCAGTGATTTGTTTATGGTAACTGGCAGAATTATTCTCTATCTCCCCTATTAATCTCTCTGTACACATCCAAATTAAAGGATTTCTAGCTTCTCCTGTTTTACATGAGTGATTCTCAACTCAGGATGCACACTAGAATCACCTAGGAAGCTTTGAAAATATTACTAATTGTATGAAATGCTTGCCTAGCATATGTGAGATCCTGGGGGAGGAAGGGAAGAAACAGAAAAGGGAGGAAGAGACAGAAGAAGGAAGGAAGGCAGGGAGGGAGGGAAAGGAAAGAAGGAAGGACTTTATTATATATTTTTACATTTAAAAATATTTTTCAAAATATGAAATTTAAGTATGTTTCTAAAGTCTTTCAGGTAAATTTGTTGTGAAGGTTGAAGATAACTACTTTGTATTATCCCTATTTTGTCACTTCCTCAGAGTTTGCTCCTTTATATACTAGAAAAAATAATAAGTAAGTTCCTATACCAATTATTAAGATATTATCTCTTAGCCTAAAACCCACCATTTTATACAGTAATTTGAGGTGTTTCTACTAGTGTTTTTGAGAAGTGAAGAGGAGACTGACTCTGCAAGATTAAAAAAATTGCAGTCTAGAGTCAATGGCCACAGTGGGGAGGTTCTGCCATTGTCACAGTAAAAAAACATAGGATAACACTCCCAGAACAGGAAGCAGGCAGGAAGCAAATAGAAACTATGAGGAAGCATTAAATCCTTCTTCTTCCATCCCTGTAGTCACCCTCTAGTGCTGCCACCTCAGTGAAGTTTCTGGGGCTTGATAATGGTTCTGTAAGCTATGCTGACACCAACAGAAGTAAATGGCTGCAGGATTATATACCCACTCAAGGGTATCCCTGAAGGAAAATCTCCCCAGTGGTACAATTTATGTTTGTCTAGACTGAGAGATGGTCAGAAGTACCCATAGATCACACTGATCTACTGGCAGCTGCTAAGGGTCTAGCTGAATAGTCATAGACTTGAGACAGACAGAATTGGAAGATTGGTGACAATGAGGCCTGGAGAAGAAAATGGACCTTTCAGAATGGATAGAAAGTATGAAGATAATCTAGGAGTGACAGTGCACGCCTATAATCCCTGCACTCAGAAGACTGAGGCAGGTGGATCAAAAGTGTGAAGCCAGTCTGGGCTACACAGAAAGTTCAAGGCCTGAGCAGCATGGTGAGACACTGTCTCAGAAACAAAAACAAAAGGTCCAGGTGCAGTGCCTCATGCCTGTAATCCCAGCAATTCAAGAGGCAGAGATTTGGGAGAATCTCAGTGCAAAAAGTTAGGGAGACCCCATCTCAACCAATAGCTTGGCATGGTGGTACACACCTAACATCCCAGCTACATGGAAAGCATAAATAGGAAGACTGAGGTGCAGGTAGGCCCAGGTGAAAATGCAAAACCGTATCCCCCAAAAAACCCTAAAAGCAGAAAAGTGCAGGCTCAAGTGGAATAGCAGGCACAAGGCCCTGTAAATTGAATCCCCAGTATCACCAAAAAACCCCACAAAAACAAAGTATGAAGATACTTGTGTCCTGTGTACATATTTCCTAAGGAACACCTGTTACAGAGGGGGTTCAAAATAATCAGGAGGACAAAATGGTGCATATTGTAGATGTCATTCTTCCTTTCCTGAGCCACCCCAGGGATCATTCCATGGGCCCACATATAAGTAGCTGTAGTGGCAGAGATGGAGGCTTATGCATGGACTTCCCCTCATCAAGGCTGAACATCAGTGGCCACTGAGTGCCTAACCAGCCAGTAGCAGAGACCAACACTAAATTCCCAAGATGGCACCATTCCCCAAGAGAACCAGTCACATGGGGTCAGGTGGATTTATACTGGGCCACTTCCATCACAGAGGGCACAAGTCTGTCCTCACTGAAATAGACATGTATTCTAAATAGGGGTTTGCTTTCCCAAGTCATAATACTTCTGCCAGCAACACATCTGTAAACTTACAGAATACTTTGTTCACTGTCATAATATTTTGTACAGTATCGCTTTGATCAGGTCAGTTCATAGCAAGAGAAGTACAGCAAAAGGGCTCATGCCCATGAAATTCACTGATTTGTCCCATACCTGAAACCAACTGGCCTAACAATGCAGAAGGGCCTACAAAGACTCTGTTATGGCACCATTTGGAGGATGCCATCTTTTATCTCACACAGGGTGTATGTTTATAAACATCAACATCAACTACTGTCTTCCCATAGCAGAATACATTGGTCAGGGAATCAATGGGTGAAATAGGAGCCACTCCTCTTACTATTACACTTAATAACTTACTTATAGAATTTTTGTATCATGTATTACCCATTAGAGCTTCCAAAATAAAATACCATAGACTAAGTGGCTTAAACAACTAAAATTTATTTTTCCTCACAGTTCTGGAGACTGTAAGCCTCCAGGTGTCAGCAGATTTGGTTTGTTCTGAGGCCTCTCTCCTTGGCTTACAAATATGCCTGCCTTCTGTGTCCTTGCATGGCATTTTCTTTGTGCATGTGCACACTTGGTGTCTATGTATTCAAATTTCCTGTTCTTACCAGGCACTGGTGGCTCACGCCTGTAATTCTAGCTATTTGGGAGGCAGAGATCAGGAGGATCACAGTTTGAGGTCAGCCTGAGAAAATAGTTCAAGAGACCCTATCTCAAAAATACCCAACACAAAAAAGGAGCTGGTAGAGTGGCTCAAGTGGTAAAGCACCTGCCTAGCAAGCACGAAGTCCTGAATCCAAACCCTAGAATCACCAACTCATTTACAACTCTGCTCCTGATTGTAAACTACTAGAGGGCAAGACCCACATCTTATCTATCTATGTATCCCTAATTCCTGATGCAGTATTTAGCATCAGGAGTAGATGTCCAAGAAAGAAATGTAGAATTATTTATAAACAATTAATTGAGTTTTTCTCTTATGTCTCTAAAATGGGCAACTTCACCAAAGTCTCAAGTAACCAGAATTGCAATTTAAACTAATACTCCCAGCTTCAAATACTTGGTACAGTTTCACCTTACCTTCAATACAGAGGTCTGTTACACTTCCATCTTCCATATTGCATAACAGTCCTTAGAGCAGAAGAAAGTAAGAAAAGAGGTGGTTAACAGTTCTCTTTAAAGGGAAGCAAATCTACAATGACAAACAGTGAATTCCAAAACCAGCAGCTTTAAGCAATGTCTTAGATAAATTCTACCCTCAATTCTAAACAATTAGATTTTACCCACAGCCCTAAACAACTAGATTTTCAATGACCTGCTCTGGCTTTAAGAAAATGAGAACTGGATTGGAAGAGTGTCTCAAGCAGTAAGAGTGCCTGCATACAATTGTGAGGCCTTGAGTTCAAACTCTAGTGCCACCAAAAACAAAAAAAAACATAACACTTTAGCCAGGCACTGGTAGCTCACACCTGTAATCCTAGCTACTCTGGAGGCAGAAATCAAGAGGATCAAGTTCAAAGCCAGGTGGGGCAAATAGTTCAGAAGACCAAAAAAAAAATCACAAAAAAGGGCTGGTGGAGTGGTTCAGGGTATAGGCCCTGAGTTCAATCTCGAGCACCACAAAAAAAAAAAAAAGAACTGTCAATGTGGCATAGCAGAAAAACTGAAAAAGTGTGTGCTCTAGAGTCTGTGACAGATCTGGATAAAATCCCAGTTCTCCCATTTGTTAGCTATAACCTCCCTGAGCTTTGGAGATCATCCTATCTCTCCTAAGGACTGTACTGGCGAATAAAAGCCTGAAAAGACTCTTACATAGAAAAGTACTCAATATGAGTTAGCTGCCATTAGACATCATATTTTTAAAAAAAGGACCTCAGATAAAGTTTAATTTATTTCACTTTACACAAGAAGAAACTAAGGCCCAGAGAATGGAAATAACTTAATCAGGGTCACAATCAAGATCAGCAGACCCCACACCAGGCCTTCTGATCCTACACAACTTCTTAACTTGACTCTTTGAAGGCTCACACATTTCCCAAATTCATCTTCACACTTTTACTAACCTCTTAGATCCTGTAAGGCCAGTTACCATAACATGAGTCTTAGAGAGGGAACCGTATCTCCATCGTTACAACAAAACAACTTACTAACAAATTAAACCATTACAATACAAAAATCATCTTTCCAAAACCATTTCCCCAAGACATCCAAATGTAACTATGCATGATATACATGCAAAACTTATGCCAAGTTTCCCTTTTAGTCTCACCAAAAAGCATGCTTATGAAGTGGATGCAGACTTTCTGGTCCTGGGCCACCAGCTGTGTGACCAAGGAGGTGTGCCTCACAAGGGCATCTCGGAAGCAGGACAACACATACTTTTTGCGTACCAGCTTTGAACAAATGAAAAAAAATATTCAATAGCAAGTAAGTCTCAGTCAGTCATTCTAAACCCAAACAATTGTAATTTCCAAATATAATTACAACATGGTATTACAGTGGTCATCTAAACTATGATGAGACCCATATTCCTTATTGGGAGCGTGGACAAGATCACCACTTATGCTAGGGATTTCATGTGCTCATATAGGTGAGTTGAGGTTTCTATTCTCTATTTACATAACATTTTGCTCTTCACAAATCACTCTTTTATCCACTGGCTCATTTAATCCTAACAGTTTAGTAAAGCAAGCAAAAATAGATATTATTACCATTTTGGAAATGAGAAAATCAGAGGCTCAGAGACTTTTCCAAAACCCAAACCCAGGTACTGCCTAAAGTCAGTGCATTTCAGCAGTGTGGGGAAATGATACTGGGTACCCTTCATGAGTCTCACAGAGATAGGTAGAGTAGAGAAAACATATCCTTTCATTCAATGTAGAAATAAATTTTCACACTCAAGTCAGTTTCCTGTACAGCTCCTTGAAGTGCTCACAGCAGTAGTAAAAATTAAGTCAAAAAGAGACAAATACCAAGGAAAGGACAGAAACACAGGTACAACTGAATACAGCCAAGATTCAACAAAAAGCAAAGCTGCAGCTGGGTGCCGTTGGCTCATGCCTATAATCCTAGCAACTCAGAAGGAAGAGGCAGAGATCAAGAGGATCATGGTTCAAGGCCAGCCTGGGCAAATAATTCATGAGACCCTATCTTGAAAGCACCCATCACAAAAAAGGTGGGGGGGGGGGTGGCTGGTGGAGTGGTTCAGGGTGTAGGCCCTGAGTTCAAGCCCCAGAAGAACAAAAAAGCAAAGCTGTTTCTTTTATTGCCTCTAATCTATGCTATTATAAATCTCCTGTTTTTCCTTCACCATCCTAACTAATAGATTAAGATAATGACTTAAATGTGTGACTTTATAAAATCTCAGTAACTCCCTTTTACCTGACAGATTAAGTTCCAGCTCCTTAGCTCAGATTCAAACTCTTTTGGGTAATAATCTCATCCTGGCTCCCCAATCTCAACTCCTTCAATTTCCCTTCAAAGACCATTGGGCTCCCTCATGGGATAAGTCTCCCATCTCCAAATCTCACCTATCTGCTTAGGTCAAATTCAAATATTTCTCCTAAAGAAACCTTTCCTGATTTTCCTCCTAACCTCATACAGCATTTGACCACAAATGTCCTTTCTTTTAAATTCTCAGTATTTTCTCCCCTCCTGCACTGTCTTACTCATCTCTGATTCACTGTCCAAAAACAGCAGTCTCAGAATTCCTGGTCTCAGTGAAATCACAGTTGTGAGCTCAGTGGTTTTCAGAGTGTGATTTGGTAATCCCTGAAGGTACCCAAAGCCTCTTCCAAGGGTCCACAAGGTCAAAACTATTTTCATATAACACGAGACGTTTGGTCTTTTTCACTCTTATTCTCTCACAAATGTACAGTGAAGTCATTCAAAGATATGATAGTGCAAGAGATTAAAGAAACAGATAAGAATCCACCTGTCTTTTAATTCATATATTAAAATAACTTGCAAAATGTAAAACAAAGCCACTCCTTTCACTATCTTTTTTGATTTGAGAAAATGGTTTTTATTTATAAAATTACTTATGCCTCAGATCCTCATGCTTTAAAAGGGTGAAAATGGCAAACTATAAGGTATATGTATTTCACCACAATTACATTAATATGTAATGGACTATTTTCAATAAATTAATAACTTTAAATTTTGTTTTTATTTCTAATACAGTAATTATTGGTGGATATAACCCACATAAACAAAAGCTCTTTGAGCTCTTGAACAATTTTTAAAGTGTAAATGCAACCTGAGATCAAAAAATTTGAAAACTAAGCCAGCTGGCTCACACTTTTAATCCCAGCTATTCAGGAAGCAGAGATCATGAGGATTGCAGTTCGAAGCCAGTCCAGGCAAATACTTCCGCGAGACTCTTATCTCGAAAAACCCATCACAAAAAAGGGCTGGAGGAGTGGCTCAAGGTGTAGGCCCTGAGTTCAAGCCCTAGTACCGAAAAAAAAAAAATTGAGAATTCTCTTTAGCCTCCCAACCACATGTGAATTCCCCTCCCACGAATTTGAAAGTAAGTCGACTTCCCAGTCTTCTTGGATACCCACAATGGACAAAGACTCACGGCAAAGGCGGGTAGGCATTGCGGGAACAGCTGGCCAGCCCATGCTTGAGCCAGCTCTGCCCACTAGAAGGGTCTTCCCAGTGCACCCCACTTCTGCCTGGCTGCAACCTGCACCGTCATTCCTGCCAACCCAGGACGCGGGCAGCCTCCTCCCCGACATTTCCAGCCTCGCGCAGGTGGAGAGGAGGAGCCGCCCCCGGCGCAGAACGTAAATGGGAGGGGACGGGCGCTAAGCTGAGGCCCTCGAGAAAACGAGGGACAGCAGGGCAGGCAAGAATGGGAGTGCATGCCAGTGAGACTGGGGGTGTCCGGGGCGCGCGGGGGCCGGCGGGGAACGCTAGGCCTCGGGAGGGCCGGCCCTGTGTGCTGAGGGAAATCAGGGGGAGGGTTCCGCCCGCACCGACACGCCGGGCTCGGGCAGCAGCTCCACCGCGCAGGCCAGGCACAGGTGTGGGGTCACGGGCAGCAGCCAGCACGGGTCATGTCGGTAATGGGTCCTCTCGAGCAGCAGCACCGCTTCTTCGTCCCTCCCGAGTCCGGGAGGGCCCCCCGCCGCCGCCGCCGCCGCCGCCGCCGCCGCCGCCGCCGCCACCTGCCTCACAGCCATCACCTCGCTGGCGCACCGCGACGCCGCAAGTTTTCCCGCGCAGCTTGTGCGCAAGCGTACTTGGAAGAGCGAGCTGCGCCTGCGCAGACCGAGTGCGCTCGCGGCTCAGGCCAGCCGTGGTCTCTGAAGAGGGTGGTGCCTGCAGGGATTCCCGAACGTATGCGTGAGCCCAGAGCTGCTGGTTTTAGATCACGCAGGATCTAACCTAATCGACGATTGAAAAGCATTTATAAGGTAGCTGTCATTAGCCTTGAAAAAGGAAGGAAAGGGCCTGGAGGAGGTGTGTCTCAAGCGGTAGAGTGCCTTCTTTGCAAATGCCTGCTTTACAAGTGTGAAGCCCTGAATTCAAACCCCAGTCCCCACCAAAAAAAAAAGAAAAGAAAAAGAAAAAGGAAGGAAAGAAAACAATATTTCTACCATATTTTTAAAATACAGCAATCTTAAGTATTTTTACCTAAAAGCTGTTACTGTCGCTTTAAATTTACATAAAACCTTTTTTCTCAAAGACTCTAACTCATTTTAAAATATCCTTTCTTGGAGGTTAGGACTTTGTAAGCGCACAAGGAATACTGAAGAAAAAGTACTTTACCATAGAATAGATTAACAGTAACAATCACTCAACAGAGACTTAATCAGCACCGATGTGCTACCAACTAGTTAATGTTGAAGGAGGTAAATGCAAGAGGTGTGTTCTAACTAACTAAGCTTGCTAGTGCATACCTGTAATCCCAGAACTCAAGAGGCTGAGGCAGGAGGATCATGACCCTACCTCAAAAGAGCAAAAATTATTTTTTTTTAAAAATAGAAAAGATAAGCAAAAGCAAAGGAAGAAAAAAGGGAAGGGAGGGGAAAACAGAGAAAATATGAATTAAATTCCCAGTTCCAGCCCTCACTGATTTAAGCTCTGTGGGCCTGTTTCTACTTGCGGAAGCTAGCTACAGAAGCACCACAAGACATGACACCCGCTGGCTCAGAAGTTTCACACCAGATTAAGTGATTAGCTCTAGTAAGTACCATGGCAGGCCTGGTAAAGCAACAAACAATTATGGTGGGTAGTATTTGAGAACTGAAGAAGTCTGTTTATGAAGTCTGTTTATGCAGCAAAACCCCAGCAGGGCAGATGCCCCCTGATCAGTTCCCATCCTTACAATCATAAAAAGCTGAATAATAAACTGGGTGCCAGTGGCTCACGTCTGTAATCCTAGCTACTCAGGAGGCAGAGATCAGGAGGATGGAGGTTTGAAGCCAACCCCAGGCAAATAGTTCACAAGACCCTATCTCAAAAAAAGCCCATCATGAAAAAGAGCTGAGGGAGTAGCTGAAGGTGTAGGCACTGAGTTCAAACCCCAGTACCACCAAAAAAAAGAAAAGAAAAAAGCTGAATAATAGTATCCCATGCAAAGCGTCATTCCTCCCCCACCCCCAAGCAACTGAAACTGAGTATCCTGCCTCAACCAGGATTAGTTTTCGAATAGGGCAAGATAGAACCATGATAGAAACCTGAGTGGACTCTCTGAGGAGCTGGAGATGGGGATATTTAGACGCTGACATTGGGCTGACCCACATTCCCCAAACCTCAAAAATTTAGGAGAGAAGTGGCTTCTGCCCTACTCATGAAGTATCCAAACCCCAAAAGGGAGCACCCAGAAAACTATACCAAAGGAATCTGAGTCCTACAGGGCACAAATGACCACTTTTATTAGAGGCTCTGGGAGTGAGCAAGCCACTCTCATGCCTTCTTTGTGTGTCCTGAGGAGCCTGGGCCTGTGGCCTACTTTTTCAAGCCACACCGGAAGAGAAAACATCTCAAATGCTTCATAAAATCAAACTTTTGGGGGGTTGATGGATTCCCTGGAGCCCTATTTGGGTTCGCGGGGGCCGCCTGTCCCTGGTAGCTCTTTGTCCTAGGAAGAGCTGCCCCAGCACGGCAGTGCCTTGGTGACTGAAAGCCCCTCTTCAAAGCAGTGTGAATTCCAGGGCTGTCCTCCCTTGAATGTAGGTCACCCACTTTGGGGAACAGAGTAGGATCCCCCAGGGTCAGGTTGGGAGCTGAGTGCTGGGGCTTGGCCAGCTGTGAGGACCAGGGCATCTTGTTCAGAAGGGTCATGCTCAGCCTGGCTGCAGCACAGTGGACATTCCCATTAAAGCTGAAGGTATCTGTGGAACAGGAAAAAGGCTGCCCCTGCGCTGTCCCTCTGCCTACTGCAGTCTTCGGGCTTCTTCTCCAGTATGTATGCTGCTGACATTTGTGTCTGGAGGACTCAGAGGCCTCCCAGGGTATGCACTCCAACTCCTTCTTCCAATAATCATGGCCAGCCCTGGAGGATGAGGTCTTCACTCTGCTGGGAGCCCTCTCTGCCATCTGGGAGACCTCTGGCCTGAACATTTTCCTGTCCCTGCTGTTCTCACTGGAAGATTCTTTGACTATTTCTGGGTCAGACCAACTCCTAGAATCTGAGGCAAGCCTGGGAGTCCTGGGTGCAGGGATGTTGGCCTTAGGGGCCTCTTCCTGGATCTGTGGTTCTCTGGCTCCTCCTTGTGGCCTGGTCCTCCTGGGCTTCTTGGGTGGAATGGAAGTGCCCATTGACTCTGACTGGTATCTACACTTTTCCAGAGACATGGCGTGTTTCTGAAGCTTTGAGTTTTTTCTTTCAAGGGGCAGAACAGTTTGGGACTTCTCTGAAGATTTAAGGCCAGATGAGGAGCCCTGGACCTCACAATGCCTTTCCTGCTGCCTTTGGAGTTCTTGGTCTGTGCATAATCCAGGCAGCCTTACCACAGCCCGGGCCAAAGAGCAAGATCCTAATAAGTTAAACAGCAAATAAGACTCCAGGATCCTCCGAGGGAGGCCCCACCTCAGGTGTGCAATCCTCCGTCTCATGAGGGACTCCAGGAGTAATCGTTTGCTCTTCTTGAGGGTTGGCCATGTGGGCTGAATGGGAGCACCCACCAGAGCTGTGGCAGCTTGTGGGGCTTGGCCACATGGGAGAGAATGGCAGACAGAGAGCACTGGGGACTGTGGATTCTGGGGCTGATGTGTCAGGCTGGAGGTCTTTTCTGAATCCACCCCTTTGTTGCTTTGCTGTCTTCTTTGGGATCTAGGTCGGGCCGGCTGGGAGGCTGGACTGACTCCAGCTCTGTATTCCCACAGATTCATACCCTTAGTGGCCAGATGTTCTCCCTCTCCACCTTGTCTCTGGTGGGGGTGAGGTTTTATCTTAGAATTGGGTGCGGAAGCTACACTGTTCACAGCCACTGTCTGCTTGTGCTCCAGAGTCCCATATCCAGAGACAGTAAGGGCTGCAAACTGGGCCAGGCTGCACTTCTTGCCTGTGGGTACCTCACCCACAGAATAGTCACCTTGGAGCTTGACCCTGGCAAAATCCTTTCCTCTGACCTGTTCCTTGCCTCCTCTCCTTGGTACTGGAGACCTTCCAGCACCCTCAGCTCTACACATTCTTTGGCTCCCTACATCTTGACTATCCATAGCATTTTCATCTCCACCCTTGTTCTGATTTCCTTGCTCTTGTATCTGGATCTCTCCATCAGTTTCACCCCTTGATTGTCGTTGATCATCTTCCGCAGTTGCCTGGGTCTCTGTGCCATCATCACCTGTGGTCCCCCTCAGATTTCTCTTCCCTTGTACTTGAGTTTCTGCACCATTCCCACCTCTAATCTGTTCCTGGTTCTTACACTCTGATAAATAGGTCTTTGCATTAACTTTGCTTAACAGTCTCTGCTTCTTTCTCTTCAGTCTCTGGATCTTTTTACCATTCTCACTTCCAGCTGCTCTCCGGTTTCTCTTCTCTGATGCCTGATTTCCTTCAGGGTTCTCTCCTCCAATCTGCTCCCAGCTCCCCCTCCCTAGGGAACAACCGCTTCCAGTTCCATTCTCCAACTGTCTGTGGTTTTCTCTCTCAGGTCTTTGGGTCTTTACATCATTTGCACTTCCAGGTTCTCTCTGGTTTCTCTTCTCTGGGTTCTGAGTTTCTGTTCCAGCTTCACCTCCCATCTGTTCTTTGTCTTTCCACTCTGATAAATGGATTTTCCTATCCGTATCACTTCCTAACTGACTCTGACTTCCTTCCCCAGCTGCCCCAGTCTCTGTAGCACCCTCCCCTCTAGCTTCTCTTAGTATTCTTATTCCTTGTATTTGAGTTTCTGCTCTATTCTCATCTCTACACTTCTCCCCTGTCTTCCACTCTGCTGAATGGGTTTCTTCATCAATTTTAGTTGTTAATTCTCCCCAGAGCTCTACCTCAGATGTCTGGGTATTTGCACCACCATTGCCTCTAACATGTTCCTGATTCTTACATTTTAGTATGTGGATCTTTTCATTAAAGTCATTTCTTAACTGACCCTGATTATCTTCCCCAGTTTCCTGGGTCTCAGCACCATTCTCACCTTTGGGTTTCTCTTGGCTTTCTCTTGGGTTTCTCTTCCTGCAGGTCTGCATTTCTGTTCCATTCTCTTCTAAATGCTCTTTTTTCTTTCTTCCTATTGGATGAATCTCCACATGAGTTTTACTTCTCAACTGCCTCTTATTCTCAGCCTCAAATGTTAGGGTACCATCTGCATCTCCATCTTCTCTCTGGTCTCTCTCCTCTGGTGCCTGAATTTCTGCTCTGTATTCACCTCCAACCTGCCTCTGATTTCCCCAACATGGTATCTTGAATTCTCTGTCAATTTCACTCACAATTTCACTCTGGTTTCCCCACCATGCTGTCTGGATCACTACCCAGTCCTCCTCTCTTATTTCCCTGAGTTTTTTCCTCCCAGATATCTGGGGTTCCCCAGCATCCTCACCTCTTCCCAGGCCTTGGTTTCCCCACCCCACTTGAATTACATGTCTTGATAGGTTCCATTTCTCTCTCCTAAATGCTTGGATCTTCCTAGATTTCTCACCTCCACTCTGACCTTGCTTCTCCCCCACTGGAGTCTGAATTTCTATAACATTGTCACTTCCAGTGCACCTCTGTTTCTCCCACTTTAGGGCCTGTGTCTCTGCATCACCCTTTTGTTTGACTTCTCCTAGGTTCTTCCTCCCAAATTTCTGAGTTTTCACTGCATCTTCACCTCCAACTCGGTCCTCATTTCTCCCCCTCTTTGCCTCAGTTTCTGCACCAGTACCACCTCCAGGCTGGTCTTCTTTCCCCTGCTGTGACATCTGGAACTCATTATCATTCTCACCTCCAGTCCAGTCCTGTTTCCCCAGTCCTTGGGCCCGGATCTCTCCCTCTTCCTCCCCTCTGGTTTCTTTCTCATTCTTCTCAAATACCCGAGTCTCCACAGCATCCTCATCTCCACTCTGACCCTGGTTCCCCCATTCTGGTGTCTGGGTCTGTACATCAGTTTTGCATCTTAACTGTTCTTGATTCTCTCCCATGTGAGGCTGGGTAGATGTATTCTTATCTCCATTCTCCCTCCAATTTTTCTTTGCTAGCTCCTCAATTTTGACTCTATTTTCAGTTCCCATCTGGTCCTGGTTCTCCCACACTGATGTCAAGATCTCTCCATAAGTTTCACTTATTACTACTGTCATCTGGTTTTTGCAACTCAGGGCCTTAGCTTCTGCACCATCCTCCATTCTAAATTCTTCTGAGAGTTGGCCCCTAGATGCTTGGATTTCCCAAGCGTCCTCCCTTCTGCACTCTCTCTGGTCCACCCATTGTGGGGCCTGAGTCTCTCTACTATACTTTCTGCCTTCAGTCTGAGTTTCACTCCATGGTGCCCAGGTCTCTTGAGGACTATCCCTGGACTTCCAGATGGGCATTTCTGGTTGTTGGGTGGAAGGACCAGGCAGGAAATCCCTGGGACAGAACTGTAGTCTCTGAGTTGAGTGGAGGTTTGGGAGAGAGATGGCTAAGGTTGTTGATGTTGGGTGATACCTCATGCTAACAACAGACTCCAGTGGCACCAGCTTCTCCTGGGAGTGAACCAGAAACCGCTCCATCCTTTGGCATGTGTTCAGAGCAGGGTAAGTCTGGCTATGCCTGAGACACCAGGGCACCCTCAATGCCTCCCAAGGACTGTTCTGAGTAACCAGACAAGGGCTTGAAAAGGAGGAGGTGCAAAAGGCGGGCTCAGAGGGGGTGTGGACACTCCAAGACTGGTCCTGACATCGGTGCTGTTCAGAGAGTAGGTACTGGGCCCATTGTTGCTGGAGGCTCCTCTGGTATCCCCATCTCCGCTTTTGTGCCCAATGTTGGACATGAGAATCCAGGCCCCCAAACTTGCCAGGGCTAAAGAAGTCAGGAGTTGTGTTGAAGAAAGTTTCACATCTTGTAGAGGGCACTACTCGATTCTGAGATGGCACCTGTAAGTGGAAAATTGAGAAGCAAAATCTTTGCACACAAATTAGGTTATATAAATCCCCACAGATCAGAATAACCATTCCCACTAGCCAAATGAGTATGCTTAGGCTCAGAAAAGGAGGAGTGCAGTCACTTCTCTTAAGGCAAACAATATTCATTCATTCCAGAAAGATTAAGAGATTATTCTGGGCTATGCACTGCTCTGGGTGCTGGGGTACCAATGTGAATAAGATAAAAGTCCCTACTGGGAGCTATATTCTAGACATGGAAGAGACAACAACCAAATGTGTAAAATAGTACTAGACACAAAAAATTTTTTCTTATTGTTATTTACTTATTTGTTTGTTTTGGCAGTATTGGGGTTTGAACTCAAGGCTTCACATGCTTACTAGGTAAGTGCTCTTACCGCTTGAGCCATTCCACCAGCCCTTTCTTGTGGTGAGTTTTTTGAGATAGGGTCTCATGAACTGTTTGCCCAGTGCTGGATTCAAATTGTGAATCCAGGTGTAAGCCACCAGTGCCTGGCTCAAAAAATATTTGAATGGAGCCAGGAACCAGTGGCTCAGAAATGTAATCCTAGTTACTTAGGAGGCTGAGATCAGGAGCATCGTGGTTTGAGGCCAGCCCATGCAGATAGTTCTCAAGACCCCAACTCCAAAATAAGCAGAGAAAAACAGACTGGAGGTGTGTTTTAAGCAGTGGAGTGCCTACTTTGCAAGGCAAATATATATATATTGCCTTGGGAATAATCGTTGTGAGGGTTAGCACCTTTAGACAGAGTGGTCAAGGAAGACATCTCAGAGGAGGTGATATTTGGTTGGAATCATGAATGAAGTGAGAGGAAAACCAGTGACATCTAAAGAAACAGCATTGTAGGCAAAGGAGACATTAAGTGCCAAGGACCTTAATGAAGACAGAGCAAGGTCATGTGAAGACAGAGCAAGGTCATGTGTTCAGGAACAGCAAAGAAGACCATATGAGACTGCAACTATCGCTCAGTGGTAGAGCACTTGCCTAGCATATGTGAGGCTCTGGATTCCACTTCCAGTATTACCAAAAAAAGGGGGAAAAAAGTCTATATGATCAGAATGGATCCAGAAACAAGGAGAGTGCTGAGAGATGAGGTCAGAGACAAACACAGGATAAATCATGTCAGATCTTGGAATTGTTAGGAGTTTGGTTTTACTCTAAGTTTGAAAAGGAGCATAGGAGCCATCACAAGGTTTTGAGCAGCAAAGAAATGTTATCTGTCTTTAAAAGTTTGTTATTAGAAGTTAGCAGAGTTGTGACTGCATACTTTTGGGTTGTAGGTAATAATCTGTTTTTCTTTCTTTTCTTCCTTCCTTCCTTCCTCCCTTCCCCTCCCTCTCTCCTCTCCTTCCCTCCTTTGCTTCCTCTCTCCCCACCTCCTTCCCTTTCTTCTTTCCTCCCTTCTTTTCTTTTTTGCAGCACTGGGCCTTAAACTCACAATTCTCCTGCCTCTGTCTCCCAGGTGGCTGGGATTATAGACACACACCACCATGCCTGGCTTGATGGTCTGTTCCTTATTCTGGATGCTGCACATGAGTATGTTTAGTTTGTTAAAAAAAAATCACTTATCTATGCACTTGTAATTTGTGTGCACATATTATTATTGGATTGAACTTTTAAAAAAAGAGAAAAAGAAGATCATTGTGGCAGCTGCATGGAAGACTGATCATGACTTGGTCAGAGAGGCAGCAGGAACCAGGCAGAGGGCTGTTACTGAGGTCCAGGTGAGACATGCCAGTGGCTCTGCCCAGGGTGGTAGGATGAAATTTCTCAGATTTGAGATACAGTTTGCAAGCAGAGCTCGTAGGACTTGCAGATGGATGGAATGTTTGGAGTGAGGGAATGAGAGAAGTCCAGGGTGATTTCTGGGTTTGGGACCTAGATAATGGACACCCTGACAGTCTCAGCTATTCCATTCATCTCTGGCACACAGATCATAAAGCAGGGTCAATGTAACAAATTACTGTGACAATCATGGTATTGAAGAAAGGAAAGTGGATATGTGAGGGGTCCCCTCACCTTGATGATATTCTTCTTGCTGGGGCGAGTCCTGGTGACCTGGAGCCAATAGTGCCGGACTTGCCAGATCAGAAAGAGGCAGAGGACAAGCAGATTGCCACAGCACCGGGGGTCCCTGCAGCTGTGGTCCTGGGAGAGCAAACCCCTCACTGGCTCCCACTCAGGTCCCTGGAATGGTCCCACCACAGCACAGGCACCCAGCAGTGACAGCAGCATGGCAAAGCTTAGGTGAGGCTGATGGTATTAGGGAGTGGGAGGGAAACATTGGTGTGGTTGACCCAGGTCATTTGGGGTGGGGTAGCCCCTGCTAACCCTGTCACAGCACCTCTGTCACTGCAGCTACCTCACAAAGGATCCTGATGCTCCAGCTGCAGCTCCTGCCACTGATTTTGGCTAGCATGGCCTCGGTGCAGGTAAGGATCATGTTGGGGGAATTGCCAAGAAGGAATGAAGAGAGGTAAATATTTAAACATCCCTGTCCTCTGTATTAAAGAGATAGTCTACTCACCCATAGTATGATGGGTGATATAATCTGCAATGTGCTTGATTACTTTCCTATTAGATACTTCTATTCACTTGTCCTTCTGTCTATTGGTTATCAAACAAATACCATATGGAACCTATGTTTTCTTTCTTGACCACTTAGCATCCCTTCTTCTTTGCTCACAGTATCTTGACTTCCTCTTGGGAAATGACTTTTCCCATCCCAGGATCAGTGTTGATGAGAGAATAAATGGTACCCTATAGACAGTCTTATCCAAAGGTTATATTCAAAATACAGAGTGGCTAAGCAGGCAGGGACATCAGCCAATCAGAATGAGCCAGGACTTGGCTGGATTGGAAGTGGTCCTTAGAATTCCGGCAGAGGTGGGGCGGGGGGCGGGGGAGGTGGGCAGGGAAAGAATTCCAGGGGAAGGGCATCACCAGTATTTCTCTAATTTAAGAACCCAGCTGAGTGTAGTAGTGCAAACGTATAATACAAGCAGTCTGAGACTGAAGCAGGAGGATCATAAGTTCAAGTCTAGCCTGGTCTACATAGTGAGACATAAATCAAAAAAACAAACACAATACAAAAAAGAACCTAATATGCCACACCATATTTCCTGGTTGAATGCTCTCTCATAGACCCAGGCCAGACACAGAATGGAGGTGTGAAATAAGTTTGGGCTCTCTCTGTCCGTGATCTGTATCTCAAGAACAGAGATTCAAGCCAGGTGCCAGTGGCTCACACCAGTAATCCTAGTTACTCAGAAGGCAGAGATCAGGAGGATCTTAGTTTGAAGCCAGCCCAAGCAAACAGTTCATGAGACCCTATCTCAAAAATATCCAACACAAGCCCAGTGCTCGTGGCTCATGCCTGTAATCCTAGCTACTCAGGAGACAGAGATCAGGAAGATCACAGTTCAAAGTCAGTCCTGGGCAAATACTTTGTAAGACCCTATCTCAAAAAAAAAAAAAAAAACACAAAAAAAGGGATGGTGGAGTGCCTCAAGTGGTAGAGCACCTGCCTAGCAAGTGTGACGCCCTGACTTCAAACCTCAATGCTGCCCCCGCCAAAAAAAGCAAGTTGGGTTGGGCACCTGTGGCTCACACCTGTAATCCTATCTACTCTTAAGAGGCAGGGATCAGGAGGATGGAGGTTTGAAGCCAGCCTAGACAAATAGATCAGGAGACCCTGTCTCAAAAAAACCCATCACAAAAAAGGGCTGGTGGAGGTATAGGCCCTGAGTTCAAGCCCCAGTACCACAGAAAAAAAAAAGCAAGTTGGGCACTGGTCACTCAAGCCTATAATCCTAGTAACTCAGGAGGCAGCGATCAGGAGGATTGCTGTTTGAGGCCAGTCTGGGCAAAAAAAGTGACACCCTATCTCAAAAATACCCAAAACAAAAAAGGGACTGGTGGAGTGCCACAAGTGGTAGAGTGCCTGCTTAGCAAGTGTAAGACCCTAAGCTTAAACCCTAGTACTGCCAAAAAAAAAAAAAAAAAAAGCAACCCTAGACAGTAAGAACTGGTTCAGCTCTCAATGAGAACTTGATGTTGCTAGGAGTCTCCCTGACATTGACAGCTGGGCCTTGGTGTTCTCCAGTTGAATATAAACAATTTCACAGAACACCACCATCAGGAAAGGCCACTCTGTGATAAGGTTCAAACACAACCATTCCTTAATCAAGTCTGAACACAGACAAACACATGAATGTTGTCCAAACCCCAAAAAATGACCAAACTAATCTGAATAAGAGCCCCCTCTTTACCAATTATAACTTTAACTTCACTTCATTTCTCCCACCTTGAAGATACGCAGTCAGGGCTGGAGATGTAGCTCAGAGGTAGAGTGCCTGCCTACCATGTGTAGGTCCCAGGTTCCATTCCCAGCACCATCAAGAAAAAAAAAAAGTAGTCAACATGCCCAATCATAGAAAAGCCCATGTTTCCTGATAGCAGCTAATTCAGGTCAAACCCCACTTCTTTGAAGTCGAAATCTTTTAGTAAACCCTTTCTAATACCATTTTATTGAGAAACATAGTTTCCCATCATGTGCGTTCTTCCTTATTGCAACAAGTAATAATGCTATAGGTATATTCCTGGCCTTTGGCTGGAGGACATTGACAATGCACTGATTTTTTTTTGTTTGTTTGCTTTGTTTTTGGTAGTGCTGGGGTTTGAACTCAGAGCCTCATGCTTTCTAGGCAGACTCTCTACCACTTGAGCCACCCCCCCTTGACAATGCACTGAGACTAGAATTAGTTCTGCTCTCATAACCAGCTCCTCTTGGTACCTCTGAGCTCCACCAGCCTCTGTTCTCCTAAATGTTTGTTTGCTACCAAAGGAACCCTGGGTGAAATAAGCAGATATCCTAAGGGTCCAAGACTGCTGCAGGTCCTGCTTTCGGGGAGCTCTCAATTGTTGGAAAGTAGACACTTACCTGATCAGGGTGATCATAGAGGCTTCAGTGAAGAGGTATTGGACGAGACTTAGGTAAACAGGACAGTGGAGCAAATCACTCTATTACTCACTCTGTATTAGTCTGCTTTGTGTTACTGTAATGAAATACTTGAAGCAGGCTACTTTAGAAAGATTTATTTTGGCTCATGGTTCTAGAGAGGCAAGTTTGAGGGGCCTCCTTGAGTGATGGCCTTTTGACTGGCAGAACCCCAAGGAGCCACAAAGAATCATATGGCAAGAGACAGGAAAAGCATATTTGTATATGCACTGCCTCTCCCTCTTCTAAGTACCCCAGGATCCAATCATGGGGGCTCAACTCTAATGGCCTTATCTAATCTAATCACTTCACAAAGGCTCTACTTCTAAACACCAAAGTCAGATTAATTTCTATCTTCTTAATATTATTAACATAGGACTTTGGGGATTAAAGTCCTGCATGAATTTGGGGGTGGGCAAAGCACATCACACTTCCAACAGAAGGTGACTGATGAGATTGGAGAAGCTGACATGTGCTCAGCATAACAAAAGAATGTGGGTATGGATGTAGGATGAGGACAGGGGGTAATATTGGTGGAACAGGACCTGGTAAGTCATGCAAGCAGTTAGGGTAAACTTCTAAAAAAACCAATCTTGAGCACAGTCAGCATTCATTAACCTATGAGAGCTATGGAAACATCAAGATTCAAAAGGAGGAGATGATTCTGATGATTCAGAGGTTGAGTAATTATATAGTTGGGAAACAATTATATAATAAGGTAAGGTCTACTGTCTCATTACTCACGGTCATGAAAACTTTATGTCCCTATCAGTCATTACTAGGGAGATGTAAGATGTGATGGTCCAAGATGCCAGGTAGATCAGCAATAATCATAAATGTTATAAAGGGCATCTAAGAAGTAAACAATGACTATACATTGGCATAAGTAGTTTCATTCCCCAACAGTGGTGGCTAAGTCCAAATAATATGGAGACATGAAACAGGATCCAACAAGGGGAGGAGCAAAGTCCTTATCAGTTTAAAGTTCTATTTATTTATTTATTTATTTATTTATTTTTGCGGTACTGGGGCTTGAACTCTGGGCCTTCACCTCGAGCTACTTCACCAGCCCAATTTTTTGTGATAGGGTTTTTCAAGATAGGGTCTCTCGAACTATTTGCCCAGGCTCTGGTAAGCGGAGGTTCTACTTCTAAACTGGAATTATCAGTGGGCATTGCTTAGTTTTGAGATAAATTTGTTTTCCTTGGCAAGACATAAGAGATTTTTATGGGATGAATAAAGTTTGGTGGTGGGGGGGAGGAATTTTCACTTAGAGCCAGTTCAAACCCTTGCTGTTGCCTGATGCCCCAACACATCTCAGGCAGAGTAACCAGATGTGGTGGAGATAACACAGATTGCTACCAAAAATCCTGGAGTCCAGTTTTGGCTTTGCCACTGTCTCACTTTGCGGCAAAGTGAGACAAACTTCCCTTCTCTGGACCTCAGTTTCCTTATCTGTAAAAATGAGAAATTGTGTTACAGGATTCCTAAGAGTCCTGTCAGGTCTCAATTTCTGCATTTCCAAAGGGATTAACTGGGATTCGCCCCAAATGGTCTAGTCTTTACCGGATTCAAACAGTTCCAAGCTGTTTGTGACATCATGTTGCAAAGAGATGAAGGACGATAAAGATGAAGGAGGACCTCTTGAAAGAGTTTTGCGGCACAGTTTAGCCTTAAACAATGGAAATTTAGAGCAGCATTGAGAAAAGAGCAGGATGCTGACTAGATGTCCTAAAATATCTAAAAATGCAACCAGACAATAATTCAAGCCTTTTCCCTCTACTCCAACTCTGCTTTTCCTCTGGAATTCACTAGTCAATGGATTCTACCATTCCCCACCAGAAATGTTGGCAAGGGATTATATGAAAATCGAGAAAACATTTAGGATTACCTATAACATTCGTCCCTTACTAGCGTGGAGTCAGAAAGGTAATTGTGAAAGAACACAGAATGTAGTTTTAAAAAAATGAAGCTGCGGCATCGTTGGAATCCTTTGTTTAATTCATAGTTACTACCAATAATTTATAGAATGCTAATAAAAACCGCAAAACATGTTCCTCGGGCCAGAGTGAGACCATTTCCACGCTAGTGCCCCCTAAGGGACAAGTTTCACACGCTTACACGCGCACACCCACACACGCCCCGCTCCTGTGACGTCACTTCCGCTTCCTGCCGCGGGCTGCGATTTCCGTTCCTTCTGTGCGGCTTTCCGGCTTCTTCTCTGACGTTGGCCGCTTTTGAGTGGCGAGCTCGTCCGACCGCAGTTATGGTGAGTGCGTGCGTGGGGCCGAAGAAGCGGGAAGCGGGAGACACCAGGTTCCGTTCACTGGCTGTCCGGTTGGGGCCTGAGCATATGCGCAGTCCGGTCCATCAGGCTCTGGCTCCCTACCGCCCCACCCTGAGTTAGAACTCGGGCAGCCGCGGACTTCCAGTATTCGCGCTCAAGGTTAGAACTCATTAAGCCTCGGGGTCCTAGTCGCTATGGTCAGGTCTATATTGCGTCAGTTTCTGTGGCGGGAGGCCTCCGGTAAGCGGAGGAGAGGGATGGCCCAGTATGGGAGCAAAAGACCAACCCACGTGGGAAATGGTAGAAAGCTGGATGGGAAAATCTAGGTCCGTGTTTTTTTCCTTTTTTTTTTTTTCCGGTCTCGAGGGACTGGCGTGGAACCGTGGGATTCGGATCAACCTCTCCTACCCAACCCCATTCTCATAGCTGGAATTCAGGAAAGGGAGGTTTCCACGGGGTCTGCACCTACTTAACACGTGCCAGGGACTTAAAGGAGATAATTAAATTTGGGGGCCGTGAGGAACGTGGAGCCCTGGCTTGGAGCGCAGGAAAGGCTCCCACTGTGAGACATGACCTCGGACATCAGAAATCCTCGCCCGGCCGCTTTGACTCAGGCCTGTAATCATAGTTATTTGGAAGGCTGAGATCGGGAGGTTCACGGTTCGAGACCAGCCCGGGCAAATAATTCTGGAGACTCCCATTTCCAAAATAACCAGAGCACAATGGACTGGAGGTGTGACTCAAGATAGAGCGCCTGCTTTGCAAGGGCAAAATCCTGAGTTCAAACCCCAGTACCACCAAAAAAAAAAAAAAAAAAGAGAAAGAAGAAAGAAATCAGAGGTCCTGGAAGCACCACGCGGGAGAACTCCAATTTGTGTACCCTGCTGTAGGTAGTTTGGGTTGGCACTTGGTAAGGAGGAAAAAGTTTTGCAAAGCCCTTTCATTTCCATGGTGAAATTTAATCCAACGGAGTTTGGATCTCTTGGGAATTACCTTCCCTCTTCGAAACCCCGCCCCCACGCCGTTTTAAAGATTATGGTGGATGAGTCTAGAATTTGAGAAGCTTCTAAACCACAGTTCAGTGAAGTTTTGGAATTGGGTGGCCTCAGGTTGAACTTTACAGCAATTTTTCTCAGCTGTAAAATGGGGATAACAGTACTTGAGGAAGTCCTGAGATCGGGGTTAAACACCTAGCCCTCACGCGTGGTAACCAGTGCACGTTACAGTCACACATCGCTATGAACAGGGATGTGTTCTGAAAGTTGTTAGCTGATTTTTTTTTTTTTTTTGGTTGTGCGAACATTATAAGGTGTATACAAACAGAACTTTGTGTTGGTCAGTCACTTTTATTGTGGCCTCTTGATGCAATCGAAATGCAGTAAATGAGACACATAAAAATGATGCTGCTGCCAGATGCTGGTGGCTCACGCCTGCAATCTTAGCTACTTAGGAGGCAGAGATCCCGAAGATTACAGTTCAAAGCCAGCCTGGGCAAATAATTCCGAGAGACCCTATCTCGAAAAACCCTTAACAAAAATAAGGCTGGTGGAGTGGCTCAAGGTGAAGGCCCTGAGTTCAAGCCCCAGTACAACAACAAAAAAAGCTGCTGGGCCTAACAGGCATGCTATTTTGTAAATAGGAGTACACTAAAATAACAAGGGCTGGAGGTATAGCTTAGTGGTAGAGTGCTTTCCTTGCATACATAAATCCCTGGGTTTGCCTAACACTACAAATAATCACAATAAAAAGTATAGTATGATAAATACATAAACCACTAACATCACTAATTGTCATATATTATACAGTACGTAATTGTGCTATGCTTTTTTAAAATAGAACACTTAACAAATTTGTCATCTTGTGCAGTGGCCATGCTAATCTCTGTATTATTACAATTTTAGTGTATGTGGTGCCAAAGTGAGCACTGTGCTGTGCTTTTGTACTGCTAGCAGCATAGATTAGTTTACACCAGCATCACCACAGACAGGAATATTACGTTGTGCTCAGACTTTTTTAGGGGGAGAGGGGGAGCCATTAGGGTTCAAACTCAGGGCCTCAGATGTTCTGGGCAGTAGCCCTACAGCTCTCCCTCTTAAACTACTCTTCCAGGACTGTGCTAGGACTTTTAAGTGGTTATAGTGTTCATGACATTTTCAGTTTTGGGGGGCTCCTGGAGTGGTACTAGGGTTTGAATTCAGGGCTTCATGCTTGCAAAGCAGGCACTCTGAGCCTTCAAGCCATGCCTTCTACCCAAATCTTGCATGTTTTGACTGCTGTACAGGGAGACCTGGTGGTGCAGGCCTGTAATGCCAATACTTGGGAGGGTGGGGCAGGAGGATCAAAGTTTGAGTCCTGCCTGGACTTTATGGTGAGACTGTCTCCCAAGGGACTGGGGGGATGGAGGGAGGAAAAATAAAACAGAAAAAAGGAAAAACCAGGCTGGGATATAACTCAGTGGTAGAGCACTTGCCTAAGTACATACATAAAATGAGTAGCTTTTTTGTTGTTGACTGGTGTCTACTGATAGAAAGATGAAGCTGGTGGGGGGGGGCATGTTTGGCTCACACCTATAATCATAGCTACTTGGGAGGCTGAGATTGGGAGGACCAGGGTTCAAGGCCAGCTTGGGCAAATAGTTCAAGAGACCCCCCCCCCCCAATCTCCAAAATAACCAGAGCAAAATGGACTGGAAGTATGGCAAGTCTCTCCCTTTTTTGTTTTTCTAGCAAGTCTCTTTTAAAAAGAAAGGAATATAAAGATAAAAGAATAAACTCCAAACCAGTGGAGGGGAAAATAGTGAAAGAACAGTAGTAGATCCAAAGGAAGGAAAGAAACAGATCAGGTGGGATAAGTGGAAGACACAAAAGGAAGATTTGAACCAAGTATACCAATATGTAAATTTAAAATGTCCAGTTAAATAAAAAAAAGCTCCAGTTTTACATGTCATGAAGTTCATTTGTTTAAGAAATACTTCAGTTTTTTCATGTATGCATCTAGCCATGCGCCCATTACTGCATCTAGTTTTAGAGAACTTTTATCAGCTTCCAAAAGAAACTTTTGTACCCATTATTAGCTAATTGATGACGATAAAGAAAAAATTCTAAAATTGGTTTTATTTCAAGAATACAAAATTAGTTTAACATGAGAAAAGATGTAAAAAAAAATTTAAAGGAGAAAAATCTTACTCATCTGAGTCAAAGTCAACTCAACTGATAAAATTCAACACCAGTGCATTTACAAAGTAAGTTAATAGCATACTAGAAAATAGCATATTTTCTTTGTATGCGAGTGGTGTAGGGGATCCAAACCAGGGCTTCAGGCATGCTAGGTGGACCCTGTACTTCATTTGAGCTAGAGCCCAGTCCTGAAGTAAGTTTTTTTAACCTAAAATATCCAGGAATAGTTGTACACTGGTGGCTCACGCCTGTAATCTTAGCTATTCAGAAGGCAAAGATCAGGAGGATCGTGTTTCAAAGCCAGCCGGGACAAGTAGTTCAAGAGACTCTATCTCGAAAATACCCAACACAAAAAAACTGGGCTGGTGGAGTGGCTCAAGGGGTAGAGTGCCTGCTTGGCAAGCGTGAGACCCTAAGTTCAAACCCCAGTACTGCTTGATAGATGGATGATTGATTGATAGAAAGGTAGATAGACAGATTGTAAAATACAGTAAACCTTTATGGAGAAAATTATAAAAAGCCAGTGAATTGGCAGGTTCTATATCTTTCCTCCAAAATTGGGATATATCAAATCTATAAATACAGTCCCAACAGGCTTTTTTCTTTCTTTTCTTTTTCTTTCTTTTTTAAAGGGAACTTGAGAAGCTGGTGCTAAAAATGTGTTGAAAAGAGCAAACAAATGACGTGGAGACCTTACTCCCATACTTCTTCAGGGAACTCTAGCCCTCACCTAGTTCCTCCCCATTCATTCATGATGTGTGACCATGAACAGGTTCACCTAGTGCCAATAAATTCTTCCTGGTGCATCCTGGTCCTTTTATGTCACTTCCTGAGGATGAAGCATTTTAATTTCTTTCTTTTTTGATATTGGGGCTTGAACTCGGCCTACACCTTGAGCCACTCCACCAGCCCTTTTTTGTGAAGGGTTTTTTTGAGATAGGGTCTCGCAGAACAGTTTGCCCAGGCTGGCTTCAAACCACGATCCTCCTGGTATCTGCTTCCTGAGTAGCTAGGATTACAGGCGTGAGCCACTGGTGCCCAGCACATTTTAATTTTTTATGGCATCGGGCAGGAGCCCACTGTGGCCCATGTGATGATAAGTGTGCCTGATGCCTACTGGGTGGGCCTACATATCAGGACTAACTGAACCACTTGCTTGGTTCTGTGGCGCAAATGCCATATGGCTACACCCAGATTGTAATTGAAATATGTCCTTGTGTATTAATGTGTATTTGTGAGAAGGACTTGGAAAATCAATGAGAAATTAATGAAAATGCTTAGTAGAGACATGATGAGGTACAAGGAATGATGTAGGCCAGACCACCCACTCAATTTGCTGGATTATTTTAATGTCATTTTTTTCATAACCTCAATGCCATTATAATACCTCAAAACTTTTTTTTAGCACAGTGAACTTTTATTCACCTTCATATGTATAAACATGCCAGTAAAATTAATGAGTATTACATATAAGGAAAATTGTAATGAGTTACTAGTATATTTGGGGGGGGGGGCATACTGGATTTGAACTCAGGGCCTTGCTCTTGCTAGGCAGGCTCTCTACCACTTGAGCCAGGCCTACCAGCCCTTGTTCCTCCTATTTCTGTTTCCCACATAGCTGGGATAACAGGTGCCTGCCACCACCAACACTTTTTATTGGTTGAGATGGGATCTTTGGAACTTCTTCCTGGGCTGGCTGGCACTGAGATCTTCCTGATCTTAGCCTCCAGGGTAGTTAGGATTACAGGTATGAGCCACTGCTCTTGGCTTAATATCATTAAGTTTTAAGGGAAAAGTTTTATCTACATATTGGTCTTCCCCAATACATAATAGCTTCAGTGTTTAAATACAGTCACATAAACAGAATTGCAACTAAAATGGAGGAGTGGGTCAGGTTCACTAAGATATCTTGTGTATGAACTAAAACTTGGTAACCTATGCTTAGGAATTTCATCCTTTGCCTGACATGTATTGTGGTGTTTGCCCAAACACTTTGTGAGAGTATCTATATAAGACTAGGCCTGGCTCATATCTGACTGCCAAAAAGAAAGAAAAACCAAAAGAGCTTTTAAAATGAGCAGTACAATTGTTTATACAAACTCAAATTATTGTATCTATTTGATAACCACAAGGAGAAAAGTATATTTGAATCTTTTGAACATGCTATCTCATTGGGTGGCCCTGGTAGGGAATTTTGAAGTTGGCGAGTTTGTTGGTAGAGGTAGTATTGGGTATTACAATTCTGCAACCATTTTGCGTATACTGTAGGGTAGAATAGGTGAGGAAATATTTTGGTATATGGGAAACCAGGTTTCTCACTGAGGATAGGAGATTTGCATATGGAATGGCAAGTGGAGAGATGATTTGTAAATTTGGGATGAAATATGAAGTTCCACATAGAAAGATTACTCCCATGAGCATCCAGCTGATGCTAAGCCGGTTTTTCTTTTTCTTTTTTTTTAATTTTTGTTTTTTTATTATTCATATGTGCATACAATGTTTGGGTCATTTCTCCCTCCTGCCCCCACCCCCTCAATACCTGGCAGAAACTATTTTGCTCTTATCTCTAATTTTGTTGAAGAGAGAGTATAAGCAATAATAGGAAGGAACAAGGGTTTTTGCTAGCTGAGATAAGGATAGCTGTACAGGGAGTTGACTCACATTAATTTCCTATGCATGTGTGTTACCTTCTAGGTTAATTCTTTTTGATCTCACCTTTTCTGTAGTTCCTGGTCCCCTTCTCCTATTGGCCTCAGTTGCTTTTAAGGTATCTGCTTTAGTTTCTCTGCGTTAAGGGCAACAAATGCTAGCTAGTTTTTTAGGTGTCTTACCTATCCTCATATCTCCCTTGTGTGCACTCACTTTTATCTGTGATCAAAGTTCAATCCCCTTGTTGTGTTTGCCCTTGATCTAATGTCCACATATGAGGGAGAACATACGATTTTTGGTTTTTTGAGCCAGGCTAACCTCACTCAGAATGATGTTCTCCAATTCCATCCATTTACCAGCGAATGATAACATTTCATTCTTCTTCATGGCTGCATAAAAATTCCATTGTGTATAGATACCACATTTTCTTGATCCGTTCGTCAGTAGTGGGGCATCTTGGCTAAGCCAGTTTTTCTAAGCTGAGAGTGTAGGCCTATGTTAATACGTTAAGTGTGTGTTAGAAATGGCATAGGCTGCTGTCTGAATTGTTGTGTAGTGTTTTGTACCTTGTCTGTAACAGCCTCTGGTTCATTTTGACTGACTGGTGATTATACTTCCCCCTTAGACTGAGGCTGATGTAAATCCGAAGGCCTATCCCCTCGCAGATGCTCATCTCACCAAGAAACTATTGGACCTTGTTCAGCAGTCATGTAACTACAAGCAGCTTCGGAAAGGAGCCAATGAGGGTAAGGCAGTCGGGGGGTGTGGCCCCGGGGGGGCCTCTGGTCTACATTTCCAATTGGAAGGACTGAATTTGCTTTTCCTTCTGTAGCAGTGGCCAATGTGGGGAGGGCTCACCAGCTTTTCTGGAGTTCTTTCTCACTTGGCATGCTGGGTGCTTATACCAGGGTTCATGAAGGGAGGGATAGCAATTTCCTAATCCCCTGCCTCCATTTGAACTATTCATTCTCCCCATACTTACATTGTCCTCTGCGTGCCAGGCATGCATCTGTATGCTTCTAATGCGGTGGGGAACAAAACTAAGTCCCTGCCTTCTTGGAGCCTACATCCAAGAGGAGGAAAGCATAGTTTATATTTCTGGTGGTAAAGAGTGCTATAAAGGAAAATAAAGTAGAGTAAGGGATGGGGTGGCAGTGGTGGAAGTCTTTCTGAGGTGGTAAAGTTTAAGGACAGAACTGAAACTTTGATGGCAAAAAGGAGAAGCCCTGCACTGTGTTGCTTCATGCTGATAAGGACCCATGGGGAAGCTGGTACAATTGACAGGCAAGAGATCATGGTGACTTCCACAAGTGTGGTAGCAGAGGAGAGGAAAGAAGTGGTCCAATTGAGGATATAGGGTTTAAGAGGCATTGGAGATGACTACTTGGCATTTCCTCCATCATCATGTCCCAGGACACTCTGGGACAGAGAACTGATTGTGCCTAGGCCATTTTGCCCAATTTTCTTGCACCTGTCATTTTCCCTGGAAACTACTTTATTGTGGCTGCCCTACAAAAAAAGCCCCTTGTCATCTATGTCCTCCTTGTCTCCACAGCCACCAAAACCCTCAACAGGGGCATCTCTGAGTTCATCGTGATGGCAGCAGATGCCGAACCCTTGGAGATCATTCTGCACCTCCCGCTGTTGTGTGAAGACAAGAATGTGCCCTACGTGTTTGTGCGTTCTAAGCAGGCCCTGGGGCGGGCCTGTGGGGTCTCCAGGCCTGTCATTGCCTGTTCTGTCACCATCAAAGAAGGCTCTCAGCTGAAGCAGCAGATCCAGTCCATTCAGCAGTCTATTGAAAGGCTCTTGGTCTAAGCCTGTGGCCTCTTGCCTGTTCCCCACCCTCCCACTGAGGTTGTGTATCATATTGTCTGTGTTAGCATGTAGTATTTTCAGTGGCTTTCTATAAAATATTGTACTAAGTCTGGTTTCTGGGTTTTTATATTGTTTTCCAGGGTTTTTCCCTGGTCTACATTTCTTTACCCTCTCTTGCTGCCATCCTTTTACCCTCCCTGTTAAGTGAACTAATGCCCAAAACAGATGGAAGCAGAGTGGTCCCATTCAAAGCCAGGAAGAGCCAGAAGAGACCTGACTGGGCCAGAGATCTTGTTGCAGCTTTCATTGACTGACTCCTTCCTGTGTGCAGGGCAGGATGGGCATAAACACTGGCCACTTAGAGTCTCTTGTGTCTGGCATACAGAATCTTCGTACATGTTGTTCTGAGGAGCTTCCTTTGCATTTCTCCCTCATATATCACTTGAGGAGGAAGTACATGTTCTATGAGGTTGTTAACCTGATGTTAACACACACCTGTGTGCTTTTGGTTTTGGTTTTGGTGGCACTGGAGTATGAACTCAGTGCCTCACACTTGCTGAGCAGGCACTGTTACTGCTTGAGTCTATCAGCACGCCTGTGTGCATTTGATGTGGAATTATATTGTCACCCCAACCATGCCCCCAAAGGTGGCAGAGCAGCAGCATACCAGAGGGATGCTCTGCAAGACTCCACAGGCAGCTGGGGGTAGGGGTGGAGATTGACCTGGGTTTTGAAGAGTCAGGGGTGGCAATGATAGAGGGGTCAATTGGTGCTAGAATGAAGGATTCTGGGAAAATCATGGCAACCTAACTGGAAATTATAGCAGAGATGATGGAATCCAGGAAACATCCTCTTTTTAATGGAAATTTCTCCAGTAGCTACTTGGCAACAGCTCTTGGAGTCCTTACCCTTTTTTCTGCCATAATGGGGGTCAAATGTATTCTTTATAACATGAAGATAGTGCTAATGTGTCATTTGAGCATCCCTAATAAATATATTCATATCCCATTTTAAACTGTGGCAGTGCCTGATTCTTAGTTTACATCCAGCTAATCAATACTTTTTATTTTTTGGTGGGACTGAGGTCTGAACTTAGGGCTTCACATTTGCAAAACAGGTGCTCTACCACTTGAGCCACATCCTCAGTCCATTTTGCTATGATTATTTTTGGAAATGCAGTCTCAAGAACTATTTGCCTGAGCTTACCTTGAGCTGTGATCCTCCAGATCTCAGCCTCCCAAGAGGCTGGGATTCATAGGCACGAGCCACTGGTCCCCAGCCATATCTTTGTTTTAAGATAGGGTCTTGCTAACTTTGCCTGGGCTGGCCTGGAACTTGCTTCCACCTCCTGAGTAGTTGGGAATACAGGTGTGCACCACATCTGGACTCACCACTTTTTAGCCACCTGTGTACCTGCTTATTAGCCACCTTCCTTCCTCATCCTCTCCTTCCCTCTATCCCCCCATCTCCACCCCCATCATAGAAAATAGCAGCCAACTGCTGGAAGTTTTCTATCTTACAGCTCCAGCTGTTAGTAACCTGTCCCCAGGGTGCAAATGTCTGAGGTAAGGATCTGTTGGCTCAGCCTGGGTCAACTGCCCATTTTAAAGCAACCACCCAAGGGTGGGCAGGTCCTGTGTATGGGTTTGAACTCAGCCTCGTACTGGCTCAGCAGATGCTCTACCACTTGAGCCACTCCAGCCCTTTTTGTGTCAGGTATTTTCAAGATAGGGTCTTATGAATTACTTGGCCAGGCTGACCTTAAACTGTAATCCTGATCTCAGCCTCCCAGGCAGCTATGATTATTTGCTACATCCAGCTAATATTTGAATGAAGAAATGCTTAGCATTGCTAGAGTAGTTATAGCTGTTTTGTGTGTATGTGTATGAGGCTTTTGGGTTGTTTTGGTTTTTGGTGTGTGTGTTAGAGATTGAACCAGAGCCCTACACATCTGTATGTGGCAAGCTACCACTGAGCTATACTCCCAACCTAGTTATGGCTTTTTTAAGCTTTTAATTACCTCCTACCAGATAGTTTCTGGGTTTGCAGTTCACAACATCTTCTCTTACCTAGAATCAGTCACAGGAGTGTTTCAACACTATTGACGTATTGAGGCTGCCCTATGTATTATAGGATATGTGGGCAGCATCCCTGGCCTCTGTCCACTAGATGGCAGTAACAACTACCACCTCCATCCCCAAACACAATTGACTCCTCCAATGTGACTTGAGCCCCAGGACACCACCTGCCTCTTGTACTTTTTCTCTTGAAGGTATCATGGGAACTAAACACCTCAATTTGAGAAACTTTCTTCCAAGCTGCAAATTATTGGGTACCACAGTAGTCAAATAAGTGAGTATATTTACTTTTCTCTTGGATTGGGCCAGTTTGCCCACTCCATCAGGAAGCACACTGAGGGGTGGGGGAATCTGGGAACCACTCTTCCTGCTAAGGCCTGTTATCTGTGGATGGTGAGGTTTCAGATAGTGCTTGCTTCTTTGTACTTTCATATGTGGCTTTATAAAGATAGTCCAAAAGAAATAACTTGAGCCAGGCTCCATTATCCTAGCTACTAAGGAGGCAGAGATCAGGAGGATCGCAGTTCAAAGCCAGCTCCAGGCAAATAGTTTCTGAGACCCTATCTCAACCCATCACAAAAAAGGGCAGGTGGAGTGGCTTAAGTGGTAAAGAGTGCCTGCCTAGCAAGCATGAAGCCCTGAGTTCAAGCCACAGCATCAAGGAAAGAAAAAAAAAAGAAGCAGAAGCAAGATTTTACTCACTTTCCAAGGGAGAAGAGGGGCTGATACTAAGAGGTATTAACCCAGAATGAGGTTAGGGGTAGGGTTTATAAGCATTTGAGATGTAGAGGGAATATACTGCTGGCTTTTTTTTTTGTTTAGCTAGCTGTTTCAGCTAGCTGGGGTGGTTAGTTCCTCAATGTTTTGCCAAAGTGGTTGGTTGTTAGCTTGTACAATCTTTTCTATGACATCATGAGGTCAAATATGTTGTCAAAATGATGCAAGTGGGGCCAGCACCAGTGGCTCACGCCTGTGTAATCCTACCTACACAGGAGGCAGGCATCAGGAGGATTGTGTTTTGAAGCAAAGCCATCCCAGGCAAATAGTTCGAGACCCTATCGAAAAAACACGTAATAAAAAAGGGGTGATGGAGTGGCCCAAGGTATATAGGCCCTGAGTCCAAACCCCAGTACTGCAAAAAAAAAAAAAAGATGCAAGTGGTGTTCCACTTGAGTTCAGAAAAAGTTTCTGTGAAACAGCATTCCCACCAGATAAATGGAATCCTTTACAAAATGGAGGTTAGGCTAATTTGAGTTGGGGGCTTTACATTTCCCAAGAGGACCTGCAATTAAGTGTTATTTTTATATTTATGATACTGATCTAAATAGATTTTCATTTTAGCATCAGGTGCTGAACCATGCATTTCCAATGTCTTTGGTCTCAAACATAGATGGAGGAGGAAGAGAGGAGCTTGTTCTGGGCACTTTGTATCCCCCTCCCTTCTTAGTGTCAGCTGGGTTTCAATTGAAAAACCAGGTATGTGCCTCTGGCTTTAGTAAATATCTCTGCTTGGATAACTGCTTATTCTCTTGTGAAGGAAGGAAAGGTTTTTAAGGTAGCAAAACTGCCTTGGGACAGCCATTCTCCAAAGTAGCCTCGAGTGCACATTACCTCCTGATTCATGCCCTTGTGTAGTCTTACCTCTTCCGATCCCTGGCTCTAGGGGGACTCATTTACTTTGTTAGAAGTCCTTAAAGCAGCCAGAGTAGTGGTCTGAAGATAAATCAGTAACTTTGCTAACCATGGGAATGAGTTTCTTTCTCATTTGTACTGTAAGAGGTGCTTAAACTGTCTTTGCTAAAAAGTACTGACTCCTTGAGCTCATGAATTAACTAAAGGCAGGAGAAAAGCTTGGCATTTCTCCTTTATTTTTTACCTGTCTCGGCTCTAAGCCATTTTCTCTGCAGTCACTTTGCAATTATCTTGGATTCCAGGAAGGACAGAGCTGATAACATCTTTGACAGTAGAGCCTCCTCTGAATGGACAATCTGCTTGGTGACACTGACTCTGGATAACAACTCCTGTACCCCTCCCAAAACAAGGACTGAAATAATGGCCCACAGACAACACCTGGGACTGTCCAACTATGCATAGCTCTTTCCCTGCTTCCAGTCCTTTTTCTATTTAAATTTATAGCTCATGTCTGTACCATGAAGATGGACTGAGTGCTTACTCTGCTTCTTCCCCACAGTGTGTCCTAGGCCATATAATAAATCTCTTTTCTTGCCCTTTATCATGGCTCTTTATTTGGCATCCAGGGACGAGTGGCCAGACCTGTATGTGGAAGCCCAGGAGTTTGGGTCTTGGGTCCAAAACTCCAGTTTCAGTACCATTGGGATTTTAATTGACAAAGGTGATTAATGACATTGAGCGGCCAATGCCATTGAAAGAAGGAGGGGCATATAATAGGGACCATGGGGGAAACCTCAGGTTTGGGCAGGAGGAGGAGGAGTAAGAAGGCTTAGGCCACAGCCTTTATTGGTGTCTCTTAGGGAAAGGCTGGGCAGAGTAAACAGTTTAGGATAGACTAGTTTGAATAATTCCTGAGAGTTCTGGGCTATAGGTGTGGTCTTCAGTTCCCTGGTAGCAGGTGGTGGGATGATTTAGGACAGATATGTAATGGCTTGGTGTGTGAAAGTTAAATAAGAAGGTGGATGGCTTACATAAGAGGCATTCTCTCAAGTAAATTAACAATTTTTTTTTTTGCGGTACTGGGGCTCGAACTCAGGGCCTCCACCTTGAGCTACTCCACCAGCCAGCCCTTTTTGTGATAGGCTTTTTTGAGATAGGGTCTCAATAACTATTTAACCCGCTGGCTTTGAACCTCAATCCTTATCTCTGCCTCCTGAGTAGCTAGGATTACAGGCGTGAGCCACCAGCACCTAGCTAAATTAACTATCTTTAGGAATTAGCTAGTGGGGGGGAGGGACAGTCTAGGTCTAGAGGACCGTCCCCCAAAATGTCAAAACATAAGATACAGAAATAAAGACAAGTATGGTAGTGGTGCCTGTAATCCTAACATGGGGAACTGAGGCAGGAGGATGGCTGGAGGCCAGCTTAGTCTACATAGCCAGATCCTGTCCAAGAAAACAAAATAGAAAATAAAGATTCATACAGTGTCCCTACAATTGAGTCTTAATCCAGTCTTAATCAAGCTTTCAGATGACTGTAATCCTGGATTCATGATTGAATTTAAGTCAGAACTATCCAGCCTATCATTTTCCAAATTCCTCATCCACAGAAATGGTGAAAGTGAATGCTGATGGTTGTTTTAAGCCAGTATTTTTAGGGAGCAATGGGTAGCTAACCTTAGGGGAAAAGGGCTTTAAGGGAGTTGTCAAAATGGCAGGACATTGAAAACCACGTGCTAACCAATCCCACATGCTCCTGCCTGCCTCAAGGTGCCAAAAGTAAATCACCTGTAGGATTGGCTTTCCTATATGATGCGGTCAAGGTTACAAGGAGGATTATTACACATTCAGGGGCAGTTTGGGGACAACTAGAAAGGCTGAATCATCATCATAGCTCCCTCGGATGTGTATATTCCTTCCAGTGTGCAGGAAGATGGAATTTCTGGATGACAGGACAGGAAGTGGAAGACTAATCTCTCCCAGAGCTCATGGTCCTGCCTTGCTTTTCTTCTAGCTTTTAATATGACAAAATGACATCACACAAGAGCACACAGTGAAAAGCAGAAGGCTCATTCTTCCAAATAGTCGCTGTAGTTAACAAGTCGGTATTCTTCCAGACGTTCCCTCTGCATCTGGCCTAGAGAAAATACACATATGTGATACGTGTGTTTGGTACAGTTTTCGCGGAATCAAGCTCTCCAGTCTGCGGGACCGCAGAGTCGGACCGCCCCGCCAGGGCGCATGCGCAGATACAAGTCTCCGCTACGTGCTCGCCACAGCGCCACCTGGCGGATCGAAGCGCGTCTGCGGCAGCGGAAGTTGGTACTTATTTCAGTGCGTTGTGCATTTACGTTTACTAATTTTATTTTCGCCACCCAGCGCTAATATTCTAATTATAAAGATAAGGAAACTAAGGCTTGGAAATGCCAGCTCAATTGCCCAAGGTCACTTGTATACATGTAGGAGAGCCAAGATGTAAATTTGCTAAGTTTGACTTGTGAGCTTCCAAACCCCACCCAATTCCATTTGAACGTGGTGCTTCTTCTGTCATGGGCAGCTCAACAGGCAGAGAAAGTATCGTTAATTTACAGAGCAACAGGTCACCCGGCTAATTATCACAGGCCTCGGGTATTGTCTTTCTAACATCATCCACATACCTGTCTGGAATTGGTGTTTGTTGTTTGTCCCCAGAAATCTTTCGTTCTTCCCATTTTGCAGAGAGAACAGGGAAAAAGTTGCCTAGAGTAAAAGTCACTCAGGAGATCACAGAAAAGCCAGACTGGACTGCGCTGGAGGGCTCCTCCTCACTCCCAGGATACCCAGGGATGAATACCAGGGGCTCAGTGAGGTTGAGGTACTTCTTACCTTCCTATTTGTAGATGGCTGGATGTGACTAGCATGATCACAATTTTTGGAGATTAATTTCTGGAATCTGGGGCTTCCAAGCATGCTTTATTTAGGTATTCTAATTTCTCAAAAATAAGAATAAGCTACTCAGAAGGTAGAGATGGGGAGGATGGGAGAGGTTCAAAGGGCAACCCAAGAAAAAAGTTACTGAGACCCCATCTCAACCAACAAGCTGGGCATGGCAATGCATGCCTGTCATCCCAGCTACATGGGTGACTGTAGATAGAGATGGGATGGGAGAGTAGAGGCCCACCCTAGGCAAAAACATAAAACCCTACCTGAAAAATAACTAAAGCAAAAAAGGACTGTGGGCCTGGCTCAAGTAGTAGCACACTTTCCTAGCAAGTTTGAGGCCCTGAATTCAAACCTCAATATAGCCAAAAAAAACCACTTACTAACACTTAGCTCTTTTAGTTGGAGAACTATCTTCCTCCTTGCCCTGACAAGTAAAGAACTGCAAAAAGAGTTGGGACATAGAGCCACATTTCTCTAATACCAGTACTTGGGTGACTGAGGCAGGAGGATCCTTGAGTTTCAGACCAGCCTGGGCTACACAGCTAGACCCTGTCTCAGAAATACAAAACACTAGCAAGCATGAGGCCTTGAGTTCAAACCCCTGTATCTCAAAACAAAACAAAACAAAAACATTTCCTCTCAAACAAAGAAAACAGCCAAGCGCTGTGGCTCATGCCTGTAATTCCAGCTATTCAGGAGACAGAGATCAGGAGGATCTCGGTCTAAAGTTAGCCTGGACAAATAGTTCAGAAGATCCTATCTCAAACCCTTCATACTGGTGGAGTGGCTCAAGTGGTAGAGCGCCTGCCTAGCAAGTGTGAGGCCCTGAGTTCAAACCCCAATACCTCCAAAATAAAAAAAAGAGGACCCTCAAAAAAACCCTTCACAAAAAAAGGGCTGGCAGAGTGGCTCAAGGTACAAGTCCTGAGTTCAAACCACAGTACCACAAAAAACATAAAATAGAAAAGCAAAAACATCCCAAAAAGCTCAAAACACAGAATCCGAAGCTGAAAATCTCTTACAGGAGGAATCTGGCCCCTCCTATACCCTCCTCTTCATGAGATGCTGTTCATTCTAATCCCAAAAGACATAGGACCTACTAACCTTGAATCTCAAGCCCTCCTTAGCAGATACACAGCCTTCCAAAGCTTTCCTTCCCTCCCTCAGGCTCTAATACTGGCCTTGTCATCTTCTTGAACTTCCTATGGCTCCCCTGAAAAATAAGGATTTTTTTTTTTTTTTTTGCAGTACTGGGGTTTAAACTCAGGACTTTCTGCTTGCTAGGCATGCACTTTACCACCTGAGTCATACCTTCAGTCCAAGGAATGACTTTTAATTTCACATATACTGGAACCATGTATCCTCGGGGGAGAGAGGAATTACTGAGAATTGAACCCAGGGCCTTGTGCATGCTAGGCAAGTATTCTACCAGTCAGCTACATTCTCAACCCTTGTTAGACTTTTTGAGACAGGGTCTCACTAAGTTGCCCATGCTGACTACCAACTCACTATGTACCCCAGGCTATAAACTTGTGATCCTTCTGCCTCAGCCTCTCAAGTAACTGGTATTATAGACATGAACCACCACACCCAGATGGAACCAAATTCTTAGGGCGACAGAAAATGTATATATTTTCACATTCAAATGTCACATTCAGAGGAACACAATCTGAGGGAGTTGTCATTTACTCATGAAGTAACCACGTGCCAGAAGGTTCACACCTGTAATCCTAGCTACTTAGGAAGCTGAGATTGGGAGAATCAAGGTTTAAGGCCAGCTTAGGCAAATACTCTGTGAGACCCAATCTCCAAAATAAGCAGAGCAAAATGGACTGCAGGCATGGTTTGAGTGGTAGAGTGCTGGCTTTGCAAGCATGAAGTCCTGCGTTAAAACCCATGCACCAAAATTAGAAATGTTACATTCTCCTTACCTGTTTTTTTTTATTGTACTGGAGTTTGAACTCAGGACCTCAAGCTTGTGAGGCAGGTGCACAATCACTTGAAGTATACCAGCCCACATTCCAATTACTTTTGAAATATGATTTTAAGATCTTACCATGACACATTTAAAGGAAAACAAGTAGGTGGACAAACTACAGCTTGTCATTCCTGAAGTACCTGTATGTTCACCTGCCCTTAACTGTCACACTCTCCCCAACCCCCACTAGTATGTTTTGTTTTCATTGTGATGAGGTCTCAAGAAAATTAAGAGCCAATGGCTAGTGATGTTTAGATGTGAGACAGACACTCCCTTCTCCTTCACACTAAACAACAGTATATGGTACAAAGTTAGGGCTCTTTATTCACATAGTAGAATAAGGCAGAGCAAGGTAAGAGGGCAGCACAATCTCTATGCCAACAGATCTCAAAAATGTGAAAGTCCAGCTGGGCGCAGGTGTAATCCTACCCAGTCAGGAGGCAGAGATCAGGAAGATCTCGGTTGGAAGCCAGCCCAGGCAAATAGTTCGAGAGACCCTATCTCAAAAAAACCAATCACAAAAAAAGGGCTGGTGGAGTGGCTCAAGGTATAGGTCCTGTGTTCAAACCCCAGTACTGAAAAAAAACAAAAGTAAAGTCCCTTGGCTTCTATCAGGCAGTTCTTTTTAGCTGGGGGAAACATTTAACTTGGTGAAAACAAAAGCAGGCAGCCTAGTTGTGGTGTGGAAGGTGCTAGATGTGTGGCATCCAGTCAGTCCTGCTGGAAGTGCTTGGTGAGAGCATCCAGCAGCTCCTGTTTCTTCAGCCCACACTTCAGCCCATAGGCCCTGCAGGCCTCCTTCAGTGTGGCAACAGTGAGCTTGCCCAGTGTGCCCCTGACAATGTGAGCCTTCAGCTCCTCTTCAGATAACTCCACCTTCGGCCTTTTACTGCCAGAACCTTCATCACCTGGGGAGAAAGAGTAGGAAGGAATGACTGGAAATGTTACCAGTAGCATGGGGTCTGGGTAAACATTTTCTATGCTGTGATGCTGATGCCTATCTAAGGCCTAAGGGAACGCAGGTCTTGATAAGGCAGCTAATTTACGTTTAAAATAAAAAAATGTCTCACACCTAGGCAGGAGTTGCCAGGGGTATAAATGCCATCAGTCTACCCAAAATAGTTGCTCTGGGTGAACAAATCATTCCTTCCTTTCTGCCTTCTTACCTTCTTACAAAATGCAATTAGAGGCTGGAAATACGGTTCAGTGGCAGAGCACTTGCCTAGTATGCTTAAAGCCCTGGGTTTAATCTCCAAGGAAAACAAAAACAAAAATGCATTTATAGACAGCATGTAAATTCCAAGGCACCAGGTGACAGACATGCAGGCTGATTAAGATAGACAAACACAGCATTAAACCATGTTCAGCATGTGACCAGGACACTCCAGGAGTTAGCTCTGATGCAAAAGAGAGAAAGCACCATGGACACCAACCTAACCTCTCACTGTTCTTTTTCCTCATAGGTATGTTAGGCAACCAGACCTAAATCTGGCTTTACTTTGCTAGACAGCCAACAGGAATACAGCCTAAATCAACTACTCCAAAATGGTGACAGTGCTCAAGGTGCTATACTGACAAAGACAAGGCTCACAGTAAAGAAAACTTTGGGTCCATTGGTAAGAAAAAGGACAGTCCAATAGGAAAAAAAATGGTTAATGCCAATAACAGGTAATGCATACACACAAAAAGTCCAGTTTCACTCATAACTGGAAAACTGCAAATCAAAACAAGACATAAGCCAGGTGTGGTGAACCATGCTTGTAATTTCCACTACTCAGGAGGTAAAGGCAGGAGGGTCAAGAGTTTAAGGCCTGCATGTGCAAGGCCCTGCATTTAATCCCCAGTGCTGAAACACAAAAAAGAAGAAAGAAAAGGACATAATTATCACTATAATTTTTTTGTAGAAATTTAAAGTCCAAGATGGCAAAGAGCATAGAAAACACACTTATTTCTTCTTGGATGGAGTTTAAATGTACCACTTTGGAGGCAATGCTTACAGGAATTTTAAATGTCTACAGCTTGACCTGGCAACTCCACTGCAAAGAATGTGTCTGTCCTGTGGATTTGCTCATACAAATACACAATGGTTGTTCATGTTCACTGCAGTATATTTACCAATAGAAGATCTGATTAAATAAACTAGGGCACAGCTATCTACTGTCTACAGCCCTAGTTTTTTAAAACAAGGTAGATATGTTATTAATGTAGCTATAAGTAACTGTGCAACATAAAAAGCTGAGTAACAGGAGTAGGGTATGGCTCAAAGTAGAGCACTGTTCAATAAGCACGAAGCCTTCAGTTTAATTCCCAGTACCACAAAAACAAAAAAGAAAATTGCTGGAGGCATGGCTCAAGTGGCAGAGTACCTGCTTAGCAAGTGGTCAAACCCCACTACTGTGAAAGAGAAAAAAAAAAAAAGCTGAGTAACAAGAAAACAATGTAACCGCTATTCCATTTGTGCTGAAATACATGTTTGTACAGGAACTTCTAGGCAACCATCTAACCCTAAGCTACATGACCAGCCCCATGTACACAAATTTCCGAAAGGCTGGTAATGGAGCTCTGTGGTAAAGTGCTTGCCTTCCATGCATGAAGCCCTAGGTTTGAACCCTACCAACAAAAAAAAAAAAAAAAAAAAAAAAGAAAGAAAGAAAGAAAGAAGGATTGGGGCATGGCTCAAGTGGTAGAACACCTGCCTAGCAAACATAAGGTCCTGAATTCAAACCCAGTACTGACCAAAAAAAAAGACGTAAGAAAGAAAAGAAAAAGAAATTTCTGATGAGACCATAGTGGCAGCTTTTTTTTTTTTTTTTTGCCATACCAGGGCTTGAACTCAGGGCCTATACCTTGAGCCACTCCACCAGCCCTTTTTGTGTTAGGTATTTTCGAGATAGAGTCTCTCAAACTATTTGCCTGGGCTGGCTTCAAACTATGATCCTCCTGATCTCTGCCTCCTGAGTAGCTAGGAATACAGGCGTGAGCCACCGGGCCCCAGCAAGGGCAATTTTTTAAAGGAACCCCTGTCCATCCACACCCAACTCCTCACCTTGTTTTCGCTTGGTAACTTTTCCCATAGGATTGTAATCTGGTGGATAGACAAGTTCTTTAAACTCATCTACTAGGGAGCCCAGTCTTCTATTCATTGCTTCAACTTTGGGCACTAGAAAGTCAAAACACCGAAAAGTGGACAAATAAGTGATGAGCACAGCTGGAGTTGTCCAGTTCCAGTTCTGTGGGAAGCAGAGAGGAGCACCTAATAGCTGGAGTGAGAAGGCTGGGGGAAGGGCCTGCTGGGCAGCTGACCTGACCACAGAAAACATTCAATACAGTCTTCCCAGCATTTACCGTATATAGTTGTCCCTCTGTTATCTGTGAGGATACCAAAATCCTCAAATGGCATAGTATTTGCATCTACTCTACACATAGCCTCTCACATTCTTTAAATCACCTCTAGATTGCAAAGATTTTAGATCTGAGCTTGGCTGAATCTGTGGATGTGGCACAGGAGAATATGGACTCAGTACTTCCTAATCTGCCTAAATGCCTTCAAGGAAGAGATGGGCTGCTAAACTCAAGGGTTTCTCTTCTGCCAAACCCAGCTAGACAGTCACCACAAAAAACACTTATGCTTTAATGCTGGGCTATTTTGTGTAGTATACAAGAGACCAGGAGTAACTTGGAAATTAAGCAGGCCAAACTGTTGTAATCTTTTAACCTTTGTTAGAATCTTCCTTAAATCCAATCTGCTTCCCAATGGATATTTACTTCTGTCACTGAATTGCCTGTGTTGTCTTACAAATATGTAAGAGACTCACAATCAAGAAGGGGACTAGCAGCAAGGCCAGAGCAGCCCAGCCTGGGAGGCCAAAAGCTCCCTGGTACTGGGTAATGAGGTAGCTTTTCTCAGGGCAGAGCACACACAGTCTAAGGGAAAGGCAGTAAGCACAGTGGTTCCGGGCGAGATTCCCTGGATTCTAAGCTTAGATCCATCACTTACTGTTTAGTACCTATACCTTGGGTAAAGCACTAGCTTCTCTGTAAAATAAGAACAATGACAAGCCCTTACCTCAGAGTTATCATAATTAAATGAGTGGATCCACAGGCCAACAGTAACTGCAGACTGTAGGCACTCACTAAGTATTATATACAATTTAACTTTACCAACTTATAGACACAGGGTGGCCTACTGCAGTGGCAAGTCTCTTGAGTACTCTCCCTCTCACTGAAGAACTAGCCAAGTCCACTCCTAGGCAGTTTACACTGATCTAGAAAATCTCTCAAGCAGACATGGTCTGGTCAGTAAGGTTAAGTCTTTAGAGAGGGTTAGGAAACACATCTATGCCACTGGTCAGAGTGAAATCAAATGGAAGGTGGCCTTTGATAAAAAGAACATCTCAGGTTGGATATAGCTCAATGGAAGAGTGCTTGCCTAGCATGCATGAGAACATGGGTTCAATCCCCAGCACTAAAAAAAAAAAAAAAAAAAAAAACAACAAAACTTCTTGACTCAGTCCAACCATCTTACATGTCAGATCTACTGCTTGCTCGGGCTCCATCAAATCCAAAGCTAGGGCCTCCAGGTTCCGAAAGTGCTGCTGCAGCACTGGGTTCTCAAAGCTGTCACTTCTGTTAAAACAATGAAATTAAAATGTAAATTGAACATTTAAATAATAAAATTTAGATATCCACTGAAATAGTACCCTAAGTAAAACAATTGGGAATCTGGTCACGAATCAACTTCTCTCTCTCTAATTTTCAATTTATTGTCTGATGCTGGAGATCCAAAAGTTAATTTCCAAGCAAACCTGCCCACCTGTCTGTCACTGGAAGCTATGCGCAGAGACAAAAAGAAGCAGGATAGATGAAAGTAGATAGAAAACATGACAGCGGGAAGGTGGGGCCAGGGAAAAATAGAATCTTGAACATGCTTTCTTCTTACGTGCAGTAGCAGCAGCAAGGGAGGATTGTGTAAACTAGAATCACACAGCTGTGAAACTGAATCCTGGCTCTGTCTCTTTCTGGCTGGGTGACTCTAAGACAGATGTCTCATGCCTCTAACTCTCAGTTTCTTCATCTGTAAACTGGGCACAAATCCAAGATTTCTTTCCCCTTTATTCTACTTAAGAATAAGGGAGAGGGTTGGCGGAGTGCTTGCCTAGCAAGCAAGAGACCTTGGGTTCAAACTCTAGCACTGAAAATAAATAATGAGATAATGTTGGCATTGTGTCTAGAACAGTATATGATCATGGTAGATTCTTTTTGTTTTGGTGGGACTGGGATTTGAACTCAGGTCTTTGCACTTGCAAAGCAGGTGCTCTACAATTTGAGCCACACCTCCAGTCCATTTTGCTCTGGTTATCTTTGTGTTTTTTTTGTTTTTTGGCAGTACTAGAGTTTGAACTCAGTGCTAGGCAAGCACTCTACTGCTCCAGCCATGCCTACAAGCCCTGCCTTGGTTATTTTGGAGACAGGGTCTATTGAACTATTTGTCCAGGCTGGCCTGAAACCACAATCCTTCCAATTCAGCCTCTCAAGTAGCTAAGATTACAGGCATGAGCCACCAGTGACTGACTATATTGCTTTTAAAAAAGCTGCCAATTACAGAGCTGGGCACTGGTGGCTCATGCGTATAACCTAGCTACTTGGGAGATTGAGATCAGGAGATTCATGGTTCAAGGGCAGCCCAGGCAAACAGTTCATGAGACCCCATCTCCAAAATAACTGGTGTAGCTCAAGTGGTAGAGCACCTGCTTTACAAGCGTGAAACCCCAGTCCTACCAAAAAAAGAAAAAAGCTCTCAATTACAAGTAATACTCTATCAGTGTAAACTAGAAGAGCGAGAGTAGAGGATATGGACATTCTGCCTGTAGAGTCTATGGTACAACGTTGTGGAAAGAAATCAAAGAAGAACAAACAGGCAAACAGAGGACCGTCCTTCAGTACACAAAGTCTGAAAGCCTGAGGACATCGATTTTACTCCTAGGTGTGCTCACTGTTATTTTGAAGCGGAAAAGGGCAGTTTCCTGAAACAACAGCTATACATGCTTGTCTATATGCCCTACCTCTGGGTTGTGCTCCAGCCTAGTAGTGACTTTTTCTACCAGTAAACAGGGGCCAACCGTTGGCCGCTATCTCAGCGATAGGGGTAGGGAAAACTAAGGCTGGAAAGAACACTGAAAAAGGGTATATAGATGTTCCAATGCCTGAGATTTGACTTAGAGTGTGTGACCTTTTGTCCACTCAGTTTGGTACTGTTAACCCTTACGTATCGTCGCTGTTTAGATGACACTGGCGGCACTTGACTGGCCCTCCCTGGGCGAAACCGGCGTATTCCTCTGTTATCATTACAGGCATTCCTGTTAAACCGCGCCGGCATAGCCTGCGATGACG